GGGAATAGTATTTATCACCATAGGAAGACGATCTGATTAGATTTTGGAGTACGTAGGTCAAAGGTCACAGGTCACAGAGGTCAACTTATGAAATTCCTTGTATTGAGTTTGTTAGCGCGATATCTCAAGAACCATTTGAGATTTAAACTTCAAACTTAAGGATAGTATGTATCACCATAGGAAGACGATCTGATTAGATTTTGGAGCACGTATGTCAAAGGTCAAGGGTCACAGAGGTCAACTTATGAAATTCCATACATTGAGATTGTTATCATGATATCTCAAGAACCACTGGGGATTTAAACTTCAAACTTAGTGATAGTGTGTATCACTATAGGAAAACAATCTGATTAGATTTTGGAGCACGTATGTCAAAGGTCAAGGGTCACAGAGGTCAACTTATGAAATTCCATACATTGAGATTGTTATCATGATATCTCAAGAACCACTGGAGATTTAAACTTCAAACTTAGTGATAGTGTGTATCACTATAGGAAAACAATCTGATTAGATTTTGGAGCACGTAGGTCAAAGGTCAAGGGTCACAGAGGTCAACTTATGAAATTCCATACATTGAGATTGTTATCATGATATCTCAAGAACCACTGGAGATTTAAACTTCAAACTTAGTGATAGTGTGTATCACTATAGGAAAACAATCTGATTAGATTTTGGAGCACGTAGGTCAAAGGTCAAGGGTCACAGAGGTCAACTTATGAAATTCCATACATTGAGATTGTTATCATGATATCTCAAGAACCACTGGAGATGTAAAAACTTCAAACTTAATGATAGTGTGTATCACCATAGGAAGACAATCTGATTAGATTTTGGAGCACGTAGGTCAAAGGTCAAAGGCCACAGCGCACATTATGAATGCAAAAACAGCTTGTGATCGCGTTATCTCAAGAACCGATTGATGGATTCATGCCAAAATTAGGTCGTGTTTGTTTTTTGCAGAGCCAATGAACTGAGTAGATTCTTGGTTCATAAGGTCAAAGGTCAAAGGTCATGGGCCCATTATGTATGCAAAAATAGCTTGTGAACGCATTCTCATTAGAACTGACAGATGGATTACTATTTAACTCAGAACATCTTGCAGAGCCAATGAACTGAGTAGATTTTATGGTCATGAGGTCAAAGATCAAAGGGTCATATATGTATATGAGAAATTGCTTGTAATCACAATATTCTGAGAACCTGTCAATGGATTACCATTGAACGTGAATTCAATTTTTTTTTTCTGTTTTGGTTTGTAAAATTGCTCTATAACGGAGGCATCATTTTCGACTGCGCGCAGTCGAATTCCATCTAGTTTTCATTGCACCTTTATAGCATCCCCTTGGTTGAATACATACATTATTTGCATGATAAAATTGGCGTGTCTTTACATACTTCTCTGGAAATTTGCTTTTATTTCAAGGAATACGCTGTGAGCCTGTGACATCTACATTTAATGTTCATTGAAAATGTCATCACCCCTAAACCTTTGTTGAACCGTTCATCATTCTGCTAACTAATAAGGGGAAGACAGTCCATCATTGCCAAATTTGATGAGACACACTTCTTATGGAAAGAATAAGAGAATGTTTTATGATATTCACAAACAATTGTTACAGTGATTTCCTGGATTCTAGGGGTTTCCTAAGGAAGGTGGGGTTTACCGAAATGTCTGTGTGGCAATCAACCCTCCAAGATGGTTTCCTCAGTCATGACTATGATTTATAATAGGTCAAAAGCAGATGATAAAATGCTGACAGTAGTGTAACATTTTGAAGGAACTGATTCTATCATCAGGGATTAGATAATGGCAGAGGCTAAAGATTGTCTTTATTTTTTAGGTACAGATGTGTACATGGAGTAAAATTATATTAGTGTATAACCAGAAGGGCATTATCTTATATCACTTTGTTGGATTAATGCCCATGATATGACTCTCATCCATGATATTTAGGGTTTTAGATTGCTTATCATTCACCATACATATTCATTCCAAATTTCACGATATCTGCCAGTGGTTAAAACAAACTGTTTGGTCAACCTCGATCTAAATATATACCAAGTACGGTTAAACTTTTCCTGGTGGTCACCAGTCTATCGAAAGCGGTCAACTACATATATATAAATTGCCACCTGTCTATAGTGGTCAGTTACCACCTTATCTTTTTCGATCAGGTAGTCTAATAATAGAGTGGTGGTCTGACTGCAGATATCCTGGAGAAATTTATAGGAAGAGATTATTAAAAGGAGTGTGTAGGATAAGATCAGCATCCCCACACATCCTCCTGAACACATGTCTAGGTATTCAAGTCATTTATCATTACTTGTGATTCGGAAACTGACAATAAACTTATACAGAGTAGGTGAAGGAAAGAAAGAGAATATTGAAAATGTGGAGGAATCCAGGTTTGTAAGTTAATGCAACGCCCTCCCTGTGATATCCGTAGCTGTAAGCACCTGATTCGGAAATCGATGTTAAAACTTTAGGGGTGAAGAAAAGCACCCTTGCACGTGCATCCCCTGTGGGCCTGAGCCTAACATAGAGGATAATCTCTCATTGCCATCGGGCTAGTTTACAGGTTATCGTTCATTTCCCTCCATACTGATCCCATCACAAGGAATCAAGGTTCGTTAGAAGCTAGATGATAATGAGGTCAACTGACCCGGTGTAGTGGTCACTTGGGTCCGCCAGGGAGGTTGAGTGGATCAAAGAATCTACATGTACATATACAGTATATGTACCGTAAATTGTGCCAAAATGAATTGCTCCAAGATATGAACTCTTTCGGTACACAATGTAAGAGCTGTATTATATGACAACTCCAAAAAAAGGATTATCACAATTATCAATATTAAAGAGCAAATTTTGAGCACCCAATGAGTAGTAAAAGTAGGCTACATGTACATGTACATGTACATGTAGGTGTCTAGTTTTTATAGAGGCTAATTCATCCAGAAAAGACCACTTCATCCAAGGTTTCTTTCAGAATTTTTTGTACATGTACATACTGTATACAATCATACTGTAAGGAATCTACTACCGATTGTATATTTGAAAAAAAGCATTTTACAAATAGGTCTATTCAAGTGCAATTCTGAAACAGGTGTTCAAGTGACATGCTTGATCGTTTGAGCTCACCTTCGACCTCAACTTTGACCTTGTAAACCTTGTAGCTGATCCAAACTAAACTTCCAAAGACAACTGTAGTCCTTGAGGAATATGTACTTTGTATTGTACAATTTATCATGCTAGTTAGGTTCACATTAAAGTCCTTAAATGTTTACGTCATAAGTTTAAATCGTAGTTATAAACGTTCAAGTAATACCTTGTAAAACAGACTGCACAAAACTGCAGATGCCCTCCTGTTCACGAAATTTAAAGTTAATTCAAAGTTACAAGCCATGAGTGATTATTGTGATAACTGCAGGTGGTGGAGGGGGGGGGGGCAACTCTAGAAGAATTGTTATAACTTCAAAGGCATTTTGTCCTTTGAGAACCAGAACTCTCGTTGTTGTAAGTGGATCGTTGTTTATAGCTTTGAGTTAGCGAAACCTTAAAGTTATAAACAGCTTTCCTTAAACAATTTTCCGTATAAAGTGAACTACCTGTACACTACTTCTAGCTACTTACGCCCTCTACATAGCAAACAATTAATGCCTAAGCGGTACCCATTGGTCTCCCATGATCCCCTTTTTCTTATGTAAAGTGACAGCCTATTTGATTAGATAACCACCTGTCAGTGACCTTGCAGGGAGGTCTAATCCCTCCTGGCCAACTGAGTACAGACAGGCTTTAAACAGATTTAAGGTTTCACAGACTTGAAGTTTAAAGCAACGATGATCTCATGTGAACATCCATGTAGCTAACAGTTTCACAGACTTGAAGTTTATAGGAACAATAATCTTGTGTGAACATACATGTAGCTAATAACAGTATCCTGTTCATACGTGTCACGACAGGGGAATATGATTGATGGTTAGACCTGAGGTTGAGACATGTGATGTGTAGTTGTTATAGGTTATTGTTTGGATCCGGGTTTGAATAATTGACGACAGGTGTATTGATTTATTGCTTGTTGGTTTTGCGGAAATTAAGGTGCGAGCTAGTCCGCTGTCCGGACTATTTCCGTGTCGTGCGCCCAATCAGCTGAGAAAATAACACACCCTCAACGCTAAAACGGAGACAGTCCTTGCCTTTCTTTCTCAATTTTTCGACGGGTGTATTTTCACGGGTTGCGCAATCTGTGTTGGATGCATGTAATGGAGGATGACACAGATGATTGAAGAATAAACAATATACAAAAACGGACAGAATTTGCAATAGGTGCAAGCATGCGATTCCCTTTTAATATATTCCACTCTTTCCTATGTTTTCTTTACCTCTCTCCCTCTGCAAACAGGTGATTTACCCTCTAGCATGTTGTAACTTCCTTAGTGGCAGTATCCAGATTCAGAAAAACAAGTAGCATTTTTTGTATACATTCTGTAAATAGGACAGAGGTACACTATTCACCCCCCCCCCCCCCATCTTTGATTTGTAAAACATAGACCTTTACAAATAAAATCATGAATATTACCATGGATCTACTACAAAGTGATTTTACATGCAACTTCCCACCTTCTGTGTTTGATAGGTGCAACTTCCCAGTAACAGTATCTAGGGATAATAACACTATGGTCTTCTCAGGGAAAAGGCACACTACTACTCTACCCCATCCCTCCTTCCCCCCCCCCCCCCCCTCCTCCTTGATTTGTAAATGTTTCTTAAAGTTCTTGCTGAATCTTAAAGAATCTCCCACCTTCTGTATTTGATAGGTGCAGCAAACAGGTGACAACCTTCCGACATGCTGTAACTTCCCAGTAGCAGTATCTAGGGTTATAACACATTGGTCTTCTCAGGGAGAGGGCACATCACTACTCTCCCCCCCCCCTCCCCCACCACCATCCCTCCCCTCTTCCTTGATTTGTAAATGTTTGTAAAAGTGAATCTTAAACAATCTCCCATCTTCTGTATTTGATAGGTGCAGCAAACAGGCGACAACCCTCCAACATGCTGTAACTTCCCGGTGGCTGTATCCAGGGATAGCATGTTTGTGTTCTCAGGGCAGAGTGGAGCCAAGATCACCAACGACCTCTATCAGTACGATTTCAAAGAGAGAAGGTATGGATTCAAGTTAAAATCAGCCTAAAAATTGGCATTTTGTATACATGTACTTCTTGTAAACGGGTGACCCTATCTTTGCTCAGGTGACACTTTATTTTGTTGGTACAGGGTTGGAGCTGGGGTTGCAATTGGTTCTTACTTAGCTCTTGGCTGGAAATAGGATTACACGTAGTTGTAGTGTTTGATCTACAGTTCGTATTGTAGTAGGTGTAAGACCATGACATGGAGCGATTGGCTCTGGATCATATGTCGCAGAACTTATAAAAGATACTTAGACTAGTTTTAAATGATATTTTCACTACATACAAGTATATGGGTGCAAGATAGTAAAAACAAAATCACCATTAGTATATTTCTTCTTCAAATAGAATTTGGAGATGAATTTTGCAAGTTTTCTTTATGTTTTTTCTACAACTCATTTGGAAATTCACATATTTCTTCAGTAAATATAGAGGTCAAGTCTGCGAAGTAGTTAATTTCTTTTGGATAATTTGGTAATAGTCTATTTCAACGTATGTAAAGAAAATCATATGGCACACATTCATGAACGTTCTTCATTTACTATAACACTCAATAGCATCTCTTCATCTTTCTTGTTTCAGATGGAGGAAGATATCGTCGGATCACATCTTGAAGGGAACCCCGCCCCCTCCTCAGCGTCGCTATGGTCACGTGATGGTGTCACATGACAGGCATCTCTACGTCTTTGGTGGAGCGGCGGACAACACACTGCCAAACGAGCTACACTGGTATGTAGTGCCATTGTCGTCAAATCTTTAAAGGAATCGTTTAACAATGTTAAATATGAGATGTACGGCCCTACGTGTTATCATTGTCTTTGGTAAAGTGTAATATTGAAGCCCTAAAAAATTTGCACCTCAAAATGATCACGAAGTGCCTCAAAAAAGTAAAAATCTTTGAGTGACCGGTTTTACCATACTCATTTTCCCAATAGACTGTAGTGTAATGAAAACCATTAGGAAAACAAATTTTTTAATTTCGATTTCTAATCATAAATATCTTGATAATCAGATAGGCGATCAGCTCGTAAAAGTCATTGGGTTCACTGGCAACATAAATGCTAAATAGTACAAGGTATTTGAATAACATTCATAGATAAGAAGATCTGACTAGATTTGAGCAACTGCTGTTTTCAAACATTGCCATCTCCCCCCTCCCCACCCCTTCAGACAATCCTTATATGTATGAATTGAGTTTTGCGACAGTTCTGTCTAAAATAGACCATTTTTGCAATGTAATCAAATTTAATGCATAAATCTTCCATGTTACAAATTATTTCATTCACCAGTTACAAATCAATGTATTTTAATAGTCAGAATGCGAATTGCATGTGTTAATTGTTCCTACCCAACAAGACGTAATTTTACATTTCTCGTTCTGACTATTGATATACAATATTTCGTAACAGGTGAATTTAATCATTTGTAACTAGGCACTTAACGAAGATTCATGCATTGCATCTGATTATATTACGAAAATGGCCAATTGAAATAATTGTATCATCTTCCTTTTTGTTGTAGCTATGATATTGACGATGGGACTTGGAGCATCATCAAACCTTCTCCAGATAGTCAGGTGGGTTCTCTGTTTGATGTTTGTGCATACATGAATGTTTGGATAGTACTCCTACAAATGCTATGAGTGTACTGGAAAGGGTAGCTAGCTAATTCGTTCAACACATTGAAATGGCAGAATAGGGTCCAAACCATAATAGAGGATCACTGATTGCTTAATTTCTGGTTGCTTGATTAAATTAATGAATTATGTATCAACGGAAAGCTTATCAGCCATAGATTACAATAATATCAATTCTTGTTGACTTGATGACGTCATACACGTATTCACAATGAATTTGCATTAATTAAGCACAAACTCATTGCCTCAGCTATATAGGCAAGCCGATCAAGTTATGTTGTCCCCTTAACTGCGGCAGATTTGATCTCTGTTGACCCTCGATTTAAAGGATAGTGAAAAATTAGTTTGTATTTTTCATTATGTGTAATACTGAAAAGGAAAACATTTTGTTACTCCTTTATATTTGTATTTTATGTTCATTCAGCTTCCAATTGATATACATTTTTATTTTCAATGGGTAGGGTCTTTAACTGGCTTAAAATTGCTTGATAAGCCCTACATAATATTCTTTCCGAAAAATAAAGTTGTTACATTGTATGAATGCTTGTCTTAGATGATGGTGGTGCAGTATTGCAAACTAGTACTCAATGGTATTCTAATGATTTTAATCTGTTTCACAACATTTGTTTCAACCCAGTGTCCATCAGGCAGACTATTCCATGCTGCCTCTGTGATAGGGGACGCCATGTTGATCTTCGGAGGGACAGTGGACAACAATATTCGGAGCGCCGAGATGTACCGTTTCCAGTTTGCGTCTTACCCGCAGTGCACTCTCAAAGACGATTTTGGAAAGCTCCTCATCAGCCGACAGTTCACCGATGTGGAATTCATTGTGGGAGAGGTAAGAATTTGATACAATGTCACATTAAAGTCATTTTATGTTAACATATGAGAAACTAAAAACTATTTTACATGTGAAGGCATGGCAAATAGGGATTAAAAGAGGTAAAACTGTGCTCAACGTAGGCCCCTGAAAGTACTCACATCTTATTTTAATACAGATATATAGTTATGTGAAGTGCTCAACCTTATGCCACTCTATGTGGTGTTGTAGGTTTAGAGGTCTTGTGGTCCAGTGGATAAGTCACCGGACTATAGATCACAAGGTACAGGGTTCAAATCCAAGCCGGTACTAACGTCCTTTGACGTTTGGCCTTTGGCAAGACGTTAATCTACATTTGCCACTCTCCACCCAGGTGTTAAATGGGTACCTGGTAGATGCGAATGTTAATGTATTTTGCTCAACATTGTGAGCGTCTGTAAAATAGAGCTTGGCTGGAATGCTCCTCAGGGAGTGGAGAATAAGCATACATTGTGTGCAGGCAACCCTGATCTGTACAGCGCTTAAAGACATAGTATTATTATTCCTATCTTTATTAATGTTGTTGCTGTTATTGTTATTATGTGGTGCCATCAAAGAATGATTCTTTATCTAGTTAATAGTAACACATTATTAAAAACATCTACATATTTGCATAATTTTTTTTTACTTGTTCTTTATTGTCAGAGTGCTGTTGTCATCCCTGCCCATGCGGCAATCATAGCAGCAAGATGTCAGCATCTAAGACTAAAGATAGAACAAGCGAAGGAGAGACAACTCAACGTGGACCAAACCGATGTAGAGGTACGTGTATGGCCATTCTCAGTAGTAAAACGTTGATTGCTTGTATTAAGTTACCCATTGCCTACGGGAAGCGGATGGCTCCTATACTAAAGCTTATGGAAATGAGAAAATTCATAAGTCAACATGGATGATTTGTGTGTGTGAATATTACCACCTTTTTAAGGTAATGATGGTTATAGGCAAAATATAAAAAGCGGTGATGAACTAAAAGAAGTACAGGTATGGATGACAGCAAGAATAGCTTAAAATCAACCTCACATTGAACTGTTTCTCATTGAAGAAAAAAAGTTTATTGCCATTTGGTCTACAACTAGTTCCTCTACTACCCAATGGTTGCAGACCAAACAGCAATTCACCAAGGAATTATGTACCAAAGACCTTCTGTCGATCCATAACTATGGGTTGTGATTGTGCGGTGGAGAGGAGTCATGCCCCATTTACAGATTGAAGACATTAGGCTTCGTATGAAAGCACATTTATCGATGATAGTAGACCGTTGAGATATAGAAATGTACCTTAACTTTGTAGTATTTGTTCAGAAAATGAAATCTTTAATAGCCTTCAAAACAATTATTGTAAATTTGCCGAATGGAATTTTGGTAACTCTATTTCTTCTTCATCCTCCCTTTTCTTTTCTTTTTCGCTCACTTTTAATTACCCCTTTCTCATTCTCTTTCTTCACGTTGTTCCTCTTCTCCTACATGCACCTTTTCTCCTCACTTTTCCTTTCATATTTTTTCCTTCCCTGTATTCCTCGCTGTCATTGTTGTCCTCCTCCTTCTTCTTCTCCTCTTTCTCCTCTTACTCCTCCACACACTCGACCTCTTCCTTCTCCTCCACCACCACCTCCTCCACCTCATCCTTCTCCTCATCGTCGTCGTCCTCCTCCTCCCCCTCCTCCTTCCACTCCTCCTCTTCCCCCTCCTCCTCCTCCTCTTCCCCCTCCTCCTCTTTCACCTCTTCACCTTCTCAACCCCTTCCTCCTCCTCCTTTCCCTCCTCTTCCTCCTTCTTCCCCCCTCCTCCTCCTCTTCCTCCTCCTCCTCCTCCTCTTCCTCCTCCTCCTCTCCCTCTTTCTCCTCCTCCTCTCCATCCCTCATCGTCCCTTATCATCCTTGTAGAACGAGAATGATCAAGAGAGTGATTCCACCGCCAGTGTTCCTAGCCCTAAGAAGAAGGACCCCTGTATACCGCAGGTCCAGGTCCCAGATGCTAGACCAGAAGCATTTGAGGTCCTACTGTGGTTCCTGTATACAGACAAGGTGGACAGGAAGCTCCAAGGTTTCGATGATCGTAACACAGACTTCCTTCTGCTACTCATGGATGTCTACAGGTTATCTGTGCAGGTAGATGCAAACAAATATATATGCCATTACTATTATCATGTATTTGGCGTCACCTGTGCCTGGGAGGCGAAAATGCGAAACTGAATCACTTTGACCCTTGGGTCTTTCCTCATTGTACAACTGATTGGGGATGTGCAGGTGAATCACTAAACAGGGATATCCCCCTACTCTTGTACAAATACTGCAGTGGGTTCTCAACATGCAGAGGTGGTGACTCACCTATACACCTGGTCTCCTTTAAGCGTCCTATCTGAGGGACAGAGTATTTTCACTGAAACATAGCCTGCATCTATATATATTTATCTGCATGAATATATTTGATATTAGTGAAAACAGATCATGTGAAAAGATGTATTAACAGAGGAGATGAGAGGTTGCCAAATTATCTACTGTATAAACACTATCATTGAAGCAAAAAATTAAAGCCATGTTCTGTTTTGTCTCCCATAGTTCTCTCTCCGCAAGCTGGAGTACATGTGCGTCCATTTCCTGTGGGTGTCCATTGGTCACTTCAATGTTCTTCAGGTCTTACAGTATTCAGACAGGCTGCAACTTGATTTCATCAAGGTAATCATCAAATGTCCCCTTTTTCTATTTTATTCCTATTGAAATTGTTCGTTGATTGTTTGTTTTACCTGACAGCTAAGAAAGCCTGTGTATGCTTGTAAGTTAAAGCAACCAGGGGACCGTCGGCTTTAAAGGTAAAGACCAGTTATGGTCATGCGATTGCATTGTGAAAGAAACGTTGTGGAATCGATCAGAAAAGGTTGATCATCTAGCATCTAGCATCTGCAAGGTTCTGGAATCATCAAAATGATAAGAAATTTGGCCCATTCTTCGTAAAGTCACAAGCACTATACACAGAAAGATGTATATGGGACTACCCTATATCTCTCACAGACCATGAGAGAAAAAAATTTACCAAATATATGAATTAGTAGGCGGTTTCCCGGCAAATTTTTTATCATCACGTATTAGTCAAAACATATTCTTTCACATGATTGGTAATGAGAGCTTCCATTTCATTTTTTGAAATTGGGGCGTTTCCAATACTGGTCTTTACCTTTAAGTCCTCTCCGAATAGTAATAAGGATTAATGCCTTACCAAAGGGCATAAGCGTATCGACTCTGTTTGGATCCCAGGACTTCCTGGTTACGAGACCACTGCTCTACCACTGAGCTATCGCCCCTCATGAATGTAGTAGAAGAGTTCATCATATTGTTTAACAAAGATAAACAAAAATTGATTCCTCAGAGTTTGGGTAAAAGAAAGCAGCTCCTCTTATATCTCTGCTCACTCCAACAAGTGTTACAACAGACTGACAAAAGACTGAGGGGGGGGGGGGAATACAAATTAGCCTATAATTTGTTGAATTATTGTCACTGAATAACTTGTTTATTGAATATAACAACAGAACATTAAAGCCTAGGCTACTGCCTAAAAAACAATTGTCACATTACATACACGTTGATGCTATTTTACTTGTACAGTGTGTGTATGACAACAACAAAGTTTCATTTTTTGCCACCCCATTCTTCCATCAGGAATTCTGCCTGAACATTGTCGAGAAGGAGAGTAAAGAGTTTGAGCAGTTAGCTCAGGAACTCGCAGTGGCTGATCCAGAGGAAAAAACACGTGTAAAAACACGTTAATTTTACCTTTTTTTGGAGATGGGCCCCCCCCCCCCCCTCTTTGAGCGCCAGGGAGGGGGGGTGCATTTTTTCAAATTTTTGAGGGTCAAAAAAAATAAAAAGTGCTCACTACCCCCCCCCCCCCCCCCCCTGGGAAAAAATATGTAAAAACACTTCAATTTTACCTTTTTTTGGAGATTGTTGCGATTTTTCAAATTTTTGAGGGCCAAAAAAAAGAAAAGGTGCTCACTACCCCCCTCCCCCCCCCCCCCCCCCTGAGCAAAATATTAGCCAGCACAATTTTCAAATTTCTATCTATCTATCTAAGTATCTTCTCCCGGTTCGGAGGTTGATTGCAACATCTCTCCATTTCACTCTATCTTCAAATTTCAGCCCACTTAATTTCAAAATGATTTCAAATTTGCCCCCCCCCCCCCTAAGAAATCCTGGATCCGCGCCTGGGTACTCATGGTGGAGGTATAGTTGGAAGTACTTTTAGATGTCTTGGGGGTTTTATAATGTCATGTTGATATGCAAGTACATTCATTGTATTGATGGTGTTGTATGTAACAAAACACCATTTAATATTTTCACCACTCTGCTCCTCCAACAGGAATTCTGCCTGAACTTTGTCGTGAAGGAGAGTAATTACAACGGCATTGTCATGAGCAAAGAGTTTGAACAGTTAGCTCAGCCACTCATGGTTGAAGTGGTTCGAAGAAGACAGCTGGCAGCAGGCAGGCCGTACCAACACGAGAAGATGCCAGAATTTGACAGAACATGTAAGTCCTGCTTCTATAATTCTAATTTTTTTCTCTTAATAATTGATGTGAATTGTTTGATATACAATTTTGTTTTTCGATCAGCAAAATATGTGCTGCTGTGTTTCTGTGTGGTTTCTTGCTGGTGCAATCATATTTAAAATTTCAGTTACAACTTTTATTTTTGCAAAAGGGTATTGTATGCGTACTAAATTCAATTCCGAGTTACCATATGCGCATAAGATACAACCTGGAACTAGTTTTCTATGATAAAATAAAACAGATGAATTCGAAATAATGAACTAATTATGATTGGACTCAATCTTTCAATCAGTTAATGGTCCTAATATCCTTGTTTTTTCCCCGCCATGACTACCTAACAGTACAACATGAAGTCTTTTCAGACAAGAAAGATCGGCAAGGACCACTCCGGTATCACCCTCGTGCTTGATGGCACACCCTACAGCAATCATACACATGTTCTGAAAATCAGTCAAAGGAGGAATTTAAGATTTAGCCAAGAGATCAATTAGTCAATCAATCAATCAATCAATCAATCAATACCTGTATATCAGTCAGTCAATCAATAAGTTTATTATCTGAATCTCTTTTGGTTTCTCCCAGCTATGACCACTTTACAACCCTCGTGCTTGATGACACACCCTTCAGCAATCATATACATGTTCTCAAAGTCAGTCAAAGGAGGAATTGAAGATTTAGCCAAGAGATCAATTAATTAATCAATCAAATAATATATCAGTCAGTCAATCAATAAGTTTATCATCTGAATCTCCTTATTTTCTCCCAGCTATGACCACTCTACAGCACGACATGGAGGACTTTCTGAAGAGCAAGACCGGCAAGGACTATTCCTGTATCACCCTGATGCTTGATGGCACGCCCTTCCCTGCTCACAAGCCCATCCTGGCTGCTAGGAGCTCTTACTTCGAGGCCATGTTTAGATCGTTCATGCCAGAGAATGACAGTGTCAATGTAAGTGTGTATGTTCAGTAACACGACGTGAATTCAAGGATCTAGTGGAAAGGTTTCAAAATCTTAACTTTTGTTAAATCCTTGTTCTCTATGGATGTTACATACCGGTACATGTACTGTACAAGAAATATCTATATCTATATTTTGTGTTGTTTGATGGGGTCATGGTGGGGGGGGGGGTAGAAAAGTTTAACTTGTTTTTAAAGTATAGTCCTTAGTATCCCCCTTCTCTCTCTATCTCTCTCTCTCTCTCTCTCTCTCTTGGTCACTCACTCATTCTTACTCTTTCCATCTTTATGGTCTTACAACTATATTGTTACATGTAAATGTAAATTGTATGATTTTCCTTTTGTCATTTGTCTCTTCAGTAGTTATATATTTTCTCTGTGCCTTGAAGTACTTATCCCCAATTGTAATATGATTATTTGAATATTGATTTGATTCAGTAAACAGTATATAGTATAATGCATTCTGTATTATGTATGCTCTTCATTAATCTGATTCCAATTAAGCAGAAATATCAATGCATCATTATTCTAGATCATTCGAGTATTGTGAAGCAGATACAGTAAATGTCCTATTACCGGCTTATGTGCAAGTAACTGAAAGTGCGAGACAGAAAGGATCACTGGCTGACCTCAATGCCCTGTTAGGTGTATATAAATTCAAACAGGTATCTAAATATTGTGCAGCTTGATTATTGAGTATTTTGTAGACAAATAAGAGTACCGGTAATTTGAAAATATTCTTTGTTTCAACGAAAGCCAGTTTAATGAGCTCAAGAGTGGCTCAAAAGTTGTCATGATGAGCTCTTTATTACGTCCATTTTCCTTGCAAACCTACAGGTGACGATCGGAGAGACCATTCCGTCAAGACAAGCCTTTGATTCCCTGCTCAGATACATCTACTATGGTTCTGTGGCGATGCCTGCTGAAGATTCACTGTATCCTTTGAAACAATTATTAAAAATCTACATTTTATTCCATATTGTAGATTTTGTAGAGGAAAATATCAGCAGGGAAGTGATACTGTATCCATGTCGTTCTGATTGCTAGCGGTATGGCATCAAGGATCGGTGGTTGGTATATACTGCCCAAATCAAGGCCATGAGAGATATTATAAACAGGTTCCGTCCCTCAGGCTTTAAGAAAATTTTCCTGTTCTTTCAGTCTTATCCTACAACATCTACAATGTAAAAGTGGTGATGAGACATATGCTCTGGATACTTTGGCTCTGAAATTTATTTTATCAAACATATAGGCCCAAATTCACAAAGGAGGTTTGTCGACAAACCTCCTTTGTGAATTCAGGCCATATATTTTGAGGTTGGGTATTATGTTACGTTTAGTGTTATGTAGATGCACATAGATTCATAAGGTGCCAAATCCCCTTGAAATCAATTGCTCAAGGCGCTCTTGGGAAGAAAAAAGAAAAAAATCACACACACCCATTCATGTAAAACTGAATAAGGTCCAGAGTGTCAGAAGTCGACTTTGGAACACTTGTGCAGGAACAGGCGCCATACAATAGTAGGAAGTATTGTACTGTACTGTATCTGAACATTTATTTGGTTTACCGTAATACACTTTTCACCATGTGGGAAGGAGGGCAGTCCTGAAAAGGAGTGGTTGGTTTAAAAGAGGATAGACAAGTAAAAGGGGAGGTTGAAGTATTCTTTCTTGCTTCATCCTAAGAAGGACTACTTATGCACTGTTAGAGAGAGAAGTAGAAAACTTAGGAATATAAGGTAATCTTTTGTTTAAGGGTAAAGTCAAGAGTGTCATGGTCGAGTAGTTTAAGGCTCTTGACTGGAGATGCAAAGGACGAGGGTTCAAATCCCGACACGGCACTAATATCCTTTGGCAAGATAATTACCTGCGCTTGCTTCTCTACACCCAGGTATTAAATGGGTACCCGGTAGGATGCGAAAGTTCATGTGGTTGGATGAGCAAGTGTGCACTTGTAAAATGGCAACTGGCTGGAATGCTCCCCTGGGAGTGGAAAATGTGCATACATTGTGTGCGGGTAAGCCTGAATCCGATGACCGGGGTAATAATATATCTGTAAAGCGCTTAGGCACATCGATGTATTGGGCGCTATATAAAAGCGGAATATTATAATTATTATTAAAGTCCTGAAAAGGACTAGCAAACTGGGTAATAAGTAATAAATGTTTCCTTGACCTTTGAACTCCCGCTACCAGCTACCTGTTCTGTGCGCCTGACTTCTTTGGCTTCACCAACAATCGGATCCAGGCCTTCTGCAAGGAGAACCTCGAGGTCAACATCTCCATCCAGAACGTAGTCCAGATTCTGGATGCTGCTGACCGGGTCGGAGCCAAGGACATGAAGGACCATGCCCTCAAGATCATCGTCAGGAGCTTCCCAAAGGTAGTCATTTTATGGCTGAATTTGTCTCTATTAATGTGCTCTTTCTCTCCCGCTCTCTTTCTCTCTTTCTAAACTGCAACGTTTGTTCCATAATTTACTTAAAGGCATCGTACGATATTAAATCTGAGATGCATAGTCCTACATGTACATGTTATCAGTGTCTGTGATATGGTGTCATATTGAAGCCTTAAAAAATTGCGCTGCAAAATGGTAATGAAGTGCCTTGAAAAAATAAAAATCTCTTTCCCCTAATAGACTGTATTGTTATAAAAACCGTTAGGAAAACAAATTTTGAAATTTTGATTTCCAATCATAAATATCTTGATAATCAGACAGGCGATCAGCTTGTAAAAGTCATGGGGTTCCTGACTGACCTAAAGATTTATGATTATTATTGCAGCATGAGCTAAATCCAGGATTGTTTCAGAATCTGAGACAAAGTTACCCAATCACTTTAAGCATGAAACCTTCAGGATTCTGGACCACTAACACACAAATTTTTGGAAAGTGTGTAATCTTTTTGGGGGACAATATTTTTCATATAAACAAATCAATAAATTTTTCTATCGTATTTCCATTTGATTTTCCATGCTATTCAGGTTGCTCAGAACCCCAAGATGCGTCTCCTGAGCAAGGAGCTCCTTCATGAGATCATCACATCCCTGGCCAGACGCATGTCAGAGCTCAAAGTTCACTTGGGTCAGGACCTGTCACCCCAGGATCAGGGGTCGTGGGGAGGGTCACGCTCAGAGCGGTACGCCATGGAGGGCTGGGGCTAGTGGTGATAGGCGATTCTGGTTTGGGGACGATGGTCGGAAAGTCAGGTCTGCTTCCTTATAAGCGGGAGCCAGACTGGGACCCTCAGGCATTGATTTGGTCATGACTGGGCTAGTTCAAAGGTCATTTGACTTAATGATGACCTACATGAATCGGGACTGTGTCGCATGCAGTGTTGTAGGTCATAGGTCATACTAGGGTCACCTGTAGATGTAATGCCATGCTATTGGGCTCCTGTGGTCATGACTGAGCTGACTCTGAAGGTTTTGTGTAAGGATTGCGACTCTGTGACGACCTTTCATATCCATGTCATGTCAGGTCATTTCATGTCATAGGTCAATGAAGCCTAATGCTATGCCATGGCTGATCAGACATGTTAATGAGGAGGGTAAAGAATAAAACGTAAGAGCATAGATAGACAAGGTGATAACTGAGGAGGCATTGACCTCCAACACCCTCTGTAGGTCAGAGGTCATAGGCCATTGATGGGGTTACTTTTTGAATGCTGCAACTACTGCCAATTTGGGTGTGGAAACTGGAGGGTTATGCAAAAGATTGAGAAGGAAGAGGGGACAAAGAAGAGAGTGATGAGAAATTTATATTTTGTGATATTTTGCCATGATAAAATGTTGACCAAAGGTAACGATTGATTAGGGTTGACCTTAGGTCACTTGTACTCAGTCTGGTCAATGGTCTATTGACAAGTCTCATAAAGATCTGGCAAAATGCCGACAGGACACCATGGTCAATCTGTAACGTCAGTCAAGTAATATACCATTTTCGTAAGGTAATCAATTTAATGCACAAATCATTGTTCAGTGCCATGTAAGAAATTATTTCATTCACCTGTTACAAATAATTGTACTTCAATAATCAGAATGTGAATTGCATACATTAATTGTTGCTAGGTAGGACAAACATTATGGCTTGTCCTACCTTACAACACAGAATGTATTCAATTTGCATTCTGACATATATTTGTAACAGGTGAATCAAATATTTTGTGATGAGGCACTTCAGAAAGATTTATGCATTAAATTTGATTTACTTTACGAAAATAGCCTATTGGTACTGTATAACATGATGGGAAACGAGAGAACACATGAATTACATGTAAGCCATGAAAGGGCGATACAGATATTGTGAAGAACAGTATGGAAAAGGCACTGATCAACTAATGTTTTAAATATACCCTGTCGTGGGAAAGGACATTTGTCCATTATGACATTAATAGTTTGACATGATGTGCAATGTGGTGTATGAACGCTTTTATAAATGGATGAGGGGTACTTCAAGGAATTGTGAATCATTCCCTGAAACTTACAAATAAGGCAAATTTGAATATATATTTTCTAAACCAATTCAGATGCATTTTTAAAAAAAATTAGTTTGTATAGAGGAACACTTTTAATTTTCATTTATTTATTTAATTGTCATAGTGAAAAATATATCAAGAAATGATATCATACATATATAATTAAACAATAATAATAAATAGTGACAAAGTAAAGTCAAAGTCCTTTCTCCCTTCCGACTATTTCGTTTTAATTGCAATAATTTGTCTCTTTCTTGGGCAGTTCTCGTTACGTATGATGGAGTATTGCTCACCTTTAATGGTCAAATTTGAACATGAAGCAGGATATATTCCATTTTTGTTAGATAGCGAGTTTAATCACTTTCACATATTTACCAAAACAAACCTAAATAATCAACTTCAAATTTAGAAGGAATACAATCTCAAGTACATTCACATTTATTTACAAAACAATTGCTTGTGAAGGTGAAGAATGTGGTTCCTGTGAACGTTCCATTAGGAAATATGCATTCATTTTGTTTTAGTAAGTTCCATACTTTGTTCCGATACTTTAGTGCGAACCTATTGTTGGTCGTATTGTTTTATGCCATGAAATATATTTGTAATGTTTTTTTCTTGTAATGAAACCTTAGTTTGTTATTTTACCAGTGTTCTTGCCAAAGGCCTTTATATTTATTATTTTGAGATGAGATTGTGTCTAAAATTTGTCTATGAGAAGCAAATCATTTTTAGGAATTGTATAACCATGTATTTTATTTTTAAATGAGCTACACTAATCAAGCAAAAGAATTTAGGAAACAGTTAGCAAACTGAAATAATCATTACTAACACCATGAGCGGATGCACAGAGGCTGTATTCTTATGACTGCATTGTCACTGACTGAAAAGTTCTGCTTTTACAGTTTTTGATACAATTTCATTTCTTTGGAGGCTGAATATTTAAACGATATACACATTAGAATGATTGTCACTCTTGAACTTTTGACAATCTTTTTTTTTAATTGGGCCCAAAGTTTATGGCAAGTAGACACATATGTATGCTGTTTGGTGAGCAACAATGGAATGGAATTTGATGACTACTCTATTTTGATGAAACTCATGTTTTAAAGGTTATTTGTACCACACAATGAATAGTTGGTTTTTTTTTTCAATATTGAAAATAAATCTTTCCCCTTCTTAGATTGTTATACGTTTTCAGAAGATTCATCTACATTTTACTTCCGTTACCATGTCAAAATAATGGATTTTTTAAAAGTTAAATTGAATATCTTTAGGTATTAAAGGATGGTCAATGTAATATTAAAGTTGAAATTCCATACAAGATTTGTGCCATTTTGGGAAAAAGCCTCTATTTTGTCTATGAAAAACAAGACATCTATTCCCAAATACTTTGTATTCTTATAATCATGATTCCTGAAATGCATACTAGTTCCATGCTGTAAGAATTGGCTCTTTGTACTAACTTGGATAAGATGTTATTTTTATCATATATGATATTTGTATACCTGAATGACTATGTACATGTGTTATATCAAAATTGCTTTTAACATTGTTATTTATACTAGTCTAAAGTAAAAAACTAAAACAAATAAAGATACACAATATGCACACTACAATATTCATTTATCTTGTTTTTATTTGTTATCCATTTGCTCTGTTTTACATTGAAAATAATAAAGAATACAAGTAGAGTTTTACTTGTAAGGAATTGCGGCTAATGATGCACTTGTTTGGCCAGGAGGGTTATCTCATCAAAGATCTAAGATTTTAGGACCGGTATATATGGTGACTGTTTCAAGCTAGTAACTACCAGTATTTTGATATCAAATTGGGTTCACAATTCTGTAATACAATTCAATAATTCTTGGTTATGTATGGCATATATCTTGGACTTGCCCATTAAAGAGTTGGAATTGAACTGAAGACAGAGACAGAAACAATACCATCAACCGTCGCTTGGTCAATGTTTAACCCTTTCATGATGTCAGCAAGTCCTGCCCGAGAAATTGCATACGAACATGAATAACGTGAAAGGTACTAGTAATTGTAGAGTTTAATCTTATTTAATATTTATTATCCCCATCTTATGGGGGTAAAAAGTCCATACTCAATTCTCAAGTCCATTTATGTCAAGAGACCTGTTTACTAATATATTTCAGTTTATGCATGTTTCTGCTCCTAACACCTGGATACCAACAATTCACCTTGTATGCGTAATAGCATTGCTATGGATGGAATTCACTTTGTGGATCCATCTAATTGTTGCTAGGTTGGACAAGCCTCTAACAAACTTGTTAGTTGTCAAGAGAACCATTTGTTGAAAAAGAATGCATAAAAACGGTAGACAAGTCTATTGCTCAAGACCTTAATAGTAGGTTCTGGAAGGTGCTAAACAAGATTTGACAATTTAAATTTAATTTTAAAAAGAAATTAGAATCAACACCTATTTCCTATTCTGTTAATTACAATAAATACACGAGGTTACCAATGAACACAAAAAGTTTCAGGATACAACTGAAGGAGGCATGGCCCCTGAAAAGCAGAACAGGGCCCCATTTCACAAAACTTTTCATCAGCCACAAATGACAGTTTTTGTTATAAGCTAGTGAAGTCCTTGCTTCTGATTGGTTATCAGCAGATTTGTCATTGAAAAAAGGCTTTGTGAAATGGGTCTCAGGTTGCTTAATTTTCCATTTTGTCTATGGCTTTATGTCGGTACTTTAAAAGCACATGCATGTAGTTTTACTGCTTAACAGCAGATTGATTTCTGGACTGAGCATTCTCTTAATCCAGTAGAAGAAAAAAATATGTATTGTTTGTGACGTCAATGCCTTTGCAGGTTGTCTCCTCTCTCTCTCTCTCTCTCTCTCTCTCTCTCTCTCTCTTCCTCTCTCCCAGCCAAAGCTGTTCCCTCCTCCGCATCAGTCCTCCAGTGATGGTGACATCATCTCTTTTGTTTCCCAATGTCTTCAATATCGTCTTCCTCAATCTAAGATGGACATGAAGAGAGAAGAAACAAGAGAGGAATTAAAGATAAAGTGAAATATTGGTCATGAAATTCAATTCAATTTATTGAAGTTTCCAACAAAACATTACAAATCAATTATAAACATTTACAACAACTTAGGAATACATATTGGAAACAGAGGGGTCCACTAAAAAGCAATGCATACAAGTGTGGACACCTGTACATTGTGAAAGAAACTGTTTTGAAGCAGTCGGGATACATTGATTATGTAGTACCGAAGACTTGATGTAACTGCATGCACACAAAAATGAGTATATGGGGCTACACTTTTCCTTTCCCTCTTTTTCACTGTACTCCATTTTAATTATCTCTCAATTGGAAAGTTCAATCTCTGCCATTTCTTTCAACCTACATGTACCAACCAACCATACAATCTTAAAGGCTGTATGTACTATTTTGGCTAGGAAGGATTACCACCCAGGAAGGTCACTGACAGGTGGCTATCTCATCAACTCAGCTCTCAATTAACATAAGAAAAAGGATTATGGGGGACCAATGGTCACCGATTAGGCATTGTTTTCTATATAGAGGGAGCAAGTAGCTACAAGTAGTACAGTGGGCCTTTAATATCTATATTTTGTTGTTCTTTCTTCATTCATTACCTCAGGATATTTTTCGACAAGTAAGACCATGACATCCTCCACAAAATCGCCCTGTATAACAATTTCATCTCCAGACACCGACGACCCGCAAGAAAAATGCCTTCCAAAGAGTTTAGCTGCTTCTTTTAATGAGACACCTGTGACAAAACAATATAAGAAATAGAGGTACGATTCAAACTGCAAAAAAGAGAAATGACATCATTTTTGTTGATTTACTTTCAGAATTATGGTAAATATATTGAATAAAGAAGTTGACAAATAGAAAGAAATTTTTAAAAAATCAAGTATTCATTGTCCATTTGTTTTTCATTACAAAAATTTACAGAGATCATCTCACAATAAAAAGATTTAATCATTAATCATGGACAGTTACAATAATGGTAAACTAAATTCTTAACAGCTTAAGTTGGATAAGGTAACTGAAAAACATTTTGTACGAAGAGGACTCCATAAATCTGTGAACAAATTCTACCCACTTATTCAGGGTTTAAAGCTGAAATTGAGTACTAGCCAAAAGTTTCATTTTGAAAGTGATTTTCTAGAAGCAAGAGGGAAAGATTTAATTATGTAGTGCATGAGCATTGGGACTGGTGTCTACTGAGACGTTTTGGAATCATCAAAATAAGAAATTGACTTGAATCATTCTGACAGTCACATAAACAGCACACAGTAATGGGTATATGGGACCACACACAAATGTGGATCAGATATTTGGTTCACACTATTCAGCTATATCTTGTCCTATTTCAAATATGGACGCATATGAAGAGCATTTCCTTTTCAAGGGACATTTTCCTGTGATTTTCTTCCAAACTGACTAGACAACCACGAGAAAGCACACAAATTATTTTTCACCTTTACCTAAACTCAACCTTCTCTTTAAATCTGCACTACGATTAGTATGCTTTTTATTACATTACTTGTACATACCATGTGTTTCAAGACCCTTGACTACTGTGACAAATTTCTTCTTGTTTCTTGTTACTCGGCCCACAGAGATTTTAGACTTTTCCACCTGCTTCTTTGCTTTGATTACACCTCGTCCACCTGGAATGAGAGAGAGAGAAAACTAAAATCAATCATTCTGTAGTGGCTATATCTGCTCAACCAATAACTGCTCAATCCAAAGAAATGTCACATAAAACATGAGAGATGTATGGTATTATTATATTCCTCCCCTCCTCCTCCTCCTCCTCCTCCTCCTCCCCCCCCCCTCCCTCCTCCCTCCCTCCCTCCCTCCCTCCCTCCCTCCCTCCCTCCCTCCCTCCCTCCCTCCCCCTTCCTCCTCCTTCTCCTCCTCCTCCTCCTCCTCCTTTTCTTAATTTCTCCCTTTAGAGATAAAGAGAGAGGGTGGAATAGGGGGTCTTCAAAGAAGATAAACGGTATCTTCAACTTTTTTTATATATGTGTTCATATCATTGCTTACTAAAGATATGAGAATCAAACTTAGTTTATGTGACGCTGTTACTATCTGTATCAATGTTCACTGGTATAAAACTCAACCAAATAAAACCAAGCATACAAACTAATTGATAAGCAGTGGTCTCGTAACTGGGAGATATCTGATTCAAAACCAAGTTGATGCGCTAGTATCTTGTAGTAAGGCATCAATCCTCATTACCAGGTCCCTCAGAGAGAACTTAAAGCTGTTAGTCCCCTACTTGCTTACTTCCATGAACAAGCATATTATATATTCTTTCTTAGCAGTCAATAAAAACAAACACCAGCAAACTATCCAAACAAAATTCATTAGTACTAAACCCTCATACTGAAAAGTCCTACAGGCTTACCCCAATACCTCACAGCTTGTCCATAGAGCAGAAATATTCACCTCGTTTTTGTCGTTTCTTGGGATCGTCTCCTTCCCCATCCACACCGTCTCCAATCTTCATCGCTCGCTCGAAGAAGTCTGGGAAATGCTCCTCCCACCATCTCTTGCATTTGTCGTAGTCTGCCAGGTACTCACAGTACTCAAAGGGCATGGAACAGACTGAAAAACATGAGCAAATCGTTATTCATTGTATTATTCTGCAACAGGACCACTACCCCTGTACTCTCACATACAACCATTGCCACCCCCCCCCCCACACACACACACAAACACACACACACACACACACACACACCAAAAACAAAATAAAAAATATAAGACAAAAAATCCTCGATTGGACAATGATCCCCTGATAAGTATTCCTTTAAAAAGATTACCCAATTTCCCTCGGACCACTACACTGGGGTCAAATTGAAAGATCCATGGGTGAAACAAAGCTAGTTTCAAGTCTCAAGTTTATTTATTTCATTTTATCGAAGATAACATAATTGAACATGATGAACATGGTGACAATTATAACTAAACATACAATATAGAAAACATAATGTACATGGTGAATAGTTATAACAGAGGATACAATCCTATAAGTAAATAAATCAATAAAGTGGGGGATCTACTAAAAAGCAAAGCTTGTATTCATACCTCCGCAATAGTTTACTTTCAGGGGATAGTTGGCTCTGTCCTGCTTGTCCTTCTTTTTACTCTTCTTGGGAACCTCTACTTCAGCTTCAGGTTCCTCAACTGGTATATCTTCAACTGGTTCTGCCATTTTTTAGGATTGCACTGGAATCTGAGGTAGAGAAAAATAAGAAATTAAAATTTGTTTCACCACGTGTAATGTCCTTCTGCATAGACCCTTGATTAATTCCAAAATAATCCTGGGGCCCTTTTCACAAAACTTTTCATCAGTGACAAATGACAGTCTTACAGCGTGTTTCCACGGAAAACATCGACACAGTATTATCCGTGTCATACCGTGTCAGTTTTCCTGTGGAAACACAAGCATGTCGGGTCGAGTCGACCGAGATGCGGATTATCAGATCCACCTCTGGGAGGTGGATCTTGACGTGTCGATCCCAACGAACTCCCTGTAAAATCTCTGTGGAAACACACAGCGACAAACCGTGTCTGGCGGAGCATCAGAGCACGCGAAGCCCCAATCACCACTGCAGCGTGATTGGTTGAAAAATACTCTGAAATACGCATATACAATAATATGTTTATATACGCGCTGTACGTAACAATGAAAATGTACATCACAATAGAATAGCGTGGAATCCTGTGTAGATCTGAATCCACGATCAAGGTCAAAGGTTGAATCTTGACTTCCGATTGACACGGCATTTGCATGACTTGGAACATGGAATCGGGGCGAATCGGAATGCTGCGCTCTGTGGAAACAGATTGGTTTAATACCGTGTCGCCGCGACACAGTATTTCTATCCGGAAAAGATAATCCGTGTTCCACTTTTTTCTTTGGAAACACGCCGTTTGTTATAAGCTACTGAAATACTTGCTTCTGATTGGTTATCAGCAGATTTGTCAATGATTATTGTCATTTGTAATTGAAAAAAGTCTTTGTGAAATGCCCCCCAGGACTCCAGGTGGATACATCCATCAGATAATGTATGCAATATTTTATTCTCTGATTGTGATTCCATGTAAATATCTAATTTCCGTGAATTCTTTAGGTAATATTAGATACATAATACATTCAGACTTTCAGAGAACAATTACTGAATTTACGAGTGCATACATTTACTTCTGACTATTTCTACCTCTGGCTCTGGGCTCTGGCATTTTTACTTCTGGTATGGTGGTGTGACCAAAGTTCGCGCGTGACCTAAGTTCGCTATCTCAAAAAATCAGTAATATTACGGAAATCTGATATCACCAATGGAAAGAGGAACAAAAAATTTCCCAGAAATGAAATTTTCTTTGGAACTGGGTACGAAATTGTAAAAATATTGACAAAAGATCGGCAAATTTTGCAATATTTTGCGTCCGTTCCGAAAAATGATCAACTTACCGATAAGGGTCTGAAAATCTTCAATTTGAGAGCAGATTTCCTCAAAATTGTAAGTAAACAGCGGTACTAACTGATTGTATGATATCTTGCCTTGCAAATTATGATATTACCTTATTTTTGATGGATCACACTTTTTGATAAATCAACTGTAAACCCCCGTGCGTGAAGTTAGGTCTCGTTGTTTTTATGACTTTTTTAGATGCAGCGCGCACGAACAATCGGACATCGAATTTTTAGATTGCGATATCTCTGAAATCCTTCGACGATAAAATTTTCTAGTTAAACTTTAATCTGTAATTAAAAACTTCGCCGTCCCTTTGGTTATAATTGAAATCAATAAATTTGTGTAGAATATGGGAAATTGTAGTTCGAATATCACATTTTGTAATATGTTCTAAAATGTCCGCGAACTTTGGTCACCCCTTCATACTTTACCTCCCACACTTTGTGTTTGAACAAATGGGGGAAGTTCAACCTTGTCTGCCACTAGACTACATCACAGAGACATTATCGATTCAGACAATTTGAAGATCCCAGGCATAGCTTCTAGTGATTACAACTTTCTAATGTTTCGTCCGATTTCATTTAAACTTTCACCAGTCTTTGTTGATATTTCTAATTCTAGTTTCCTACTAGTACCAGGCCAAGCCAGGTTGGATTTCCCTTTATTAAAAACACCAATCATGACAAATGAAGTTTTCCTTACTCACTACTCAGCAACAAGAGGGCAGCACATAGCAAGGAAAATAACAACAGACATTCATTTTTTAAATAGCAAATTTCCTGTTTTTAAGGCTTCTAGGCTAGTTACCAAAGCCAAAGGATGGGTGACTAGAGCTTTCCCAGCTGTTAATTTAATGATCTAGCCCTACGACTCTACGAGAATGACGACAACTCTCTTGTTCGACTGGACCGATTTTTTTTTTTTCACATTCACATTCACAATCACTTCACATCCACCGACCACACTGCAAATTAGTAAAGTTGGAAAATAAAATAACAATTTATTTACTTTCTTCAAATCAAGCTTATTTCCGCCGTGGGTGTCTAGTCGCCTTATCCGCTTCGTCAATTAAACATAGATCTCTAGCTCTCACAAGTCACAAAACTCAAGACATTCAATGCAATTCACGTGCAAATGCAAAACAAATGGGATCTCTGTACAATATATATATGCTAACCTTGAGAAAGCAAATCAAAATTGAAAAAAGGCCTTTACGTCTTTGAAGAAATAAAATGCTTTGCGTCAACCATGGGCGTCAATCCTGGGGGACGGGGGAACACGTCCCCCCACGAATTTTCAGGTGGTGAAATGCCCCCCCCCCCCACGATCTGGGGTTACAATCTGTTTACATCGGGTTACACCGATTCGTCTTCTTTCTCTAATAATTTAATGAAACATCAAAGCTTCAGCGGTTCGCGCATTAGGGGGGGGGGATTGAATTTAGACAAGGATTAAGAGTCGAGAACGGTACAATGATTCGTCTTCTTTCTCTAATAATTTAATGAAACGTCAAAGCTTCCGCGCTTCGCGCATGAGGGGGGGGGAATGAATTTAGACAAGGATTAAGAGTCGAGAACGGTACAACAAATCGTCTTCTTTCTCTAATGATTTAATGAAACGACAAAGCTTCCGCGCTTCGCGGAGTAGGGAGGGGGAAAACTGAGTTTCTCTGAATTAAGATAATATCCACGCCGTCAAACCCCCTTTTTCTCAGAATAATGTTATAAACGATGTCCGAGAGGGATATATAGATAAAGAGGGAGAAAGAGAGATAGAGAGAGAGAGAGATAGAGGGAGAAATAGAGAGTTTATAGAGAAAGACAGGGAGAGATAGAGGGAGAGATAAAGTGAGAGATAGAGATAGGGGAGATAAAGAGAGGGTGAGAGATAGAGAAAGAGATAAAGATTTAGAGAGACGGAGAGATAGATGGATAGAATACAGAGAAAGAGAGATATAGAGGGGAGACGTCCACTCCGTTCGAGTTCACCACACTTGTAACCTGTTTGGCATCATTTTTTTCCTCCAGAACGTAGTGATGAGAACGACTGAACGAGTCTGGTGTGATGGGGGCTTCATGAAACCAAAGATGAGTGCGCCATTGCGGTCCTTGTTTCAATATGCCCCTCACTTTTCCCCCTATAGATCTAAGGGTTTCTAAATTATTGAGATATGGCAATTCTGTTAAAGTAAGTTATATATTATGGAACATTTTCGCTTTTTACGAGAAAAAAAAATGCAAACATTGAACCTTTCGTTAATTATTTTGTTTTATTCAGTCTATATATTTTACTGTTTCTGATACTAAATTTATATTGGGAGGGGGTGTTAACCCTTATGCCACACCATACCCTGCAAACACCGCTTTCTATGTCCTCCAACTCCCCCCACCCCCCTAATCCTTACTGAACTTGTGTCCCCCCCCCCCCCACGGTCTAATTCGGATTGACGCCCATGGCGTCAACCCAATCCCAAATTCGTCACTGGAAATTTATTTTGCTTCATAGTGGCACTTGTCGAGTGCCCGTAATGTACGGGCACATTTGTTTTTAATTATCATGACAAATTTGAAATGTTCCGTATTTGCGCATCATGTTTGGGAAGTCGCATCACGTATGCAGGCTGCAGCTATATAGGGTGGTCTTGGTTTTAAAATCATTTACATATGTATCTTCTTACTTTTGGTAACAAAAAGTTATATTTTTAAAATAATAAAGTGGCGAAATAACCCCACATACATTTGATTTTATAAATATTGTTATGTGCCTCTATAAACCTGCTCTTTTCCACAAGCAAAATTACCAAACCAAAACAAAAGAAATGATTTCCCTGTGAACAAAATTAAACAAATAAAATCAAGCCCCACCCCACCCCCACCCCCCGCAAAAGAATAAATGCCCAAAAGATCGAGGCAACATCGCCCCTCTTCATATGTTGAGCCTATGCAATGAGTTTATCAAATCATCATGGTACAAAATGCACTTTCTTAAAAGGTAGTCTAGGTATAGCTATATGGTTTTATGTTTTCTGTCCGGCCGCTAATACTGCACTCGTCTACAAAGGATAAGTGAAATATATAGCTAGAGCCTGCATGATTGGTTTTAAAGAAGCCGGCGGTCTAAAACAAAAACAAAAACAGTCAGTCAAAAAGTGCCCCTTTGGCAGGCCTAATCACTTCCTTTACTTAAAAAATTCCCAATTCCCATTTACAATGACTATCTGATTAAAAACTTTAATTCTACATGAGAATATGCTTATGCCTATCGAAAGTTTATAATTTAACCGAACTTCTTCTGCATTACGTCTTTAATAGGTAGGATACGTGCTGGGGCTGGTTTTGATACTTACATGCCCAATTGCCCATCATACCAAGCAGGCACTCACTGCAGTTGCGTTTGTTTATTTTTGTTTGTTTGTACCCAATCAAACATTTCAAAATGACAAGTAAAATATAATAGTATTATTGAAAATTCCTCAAATATATATTCAAACAATCAATATATCAAAATATATATGAAAATAAATGATTTTCTTTTTTTGCGAATCGATCAGTGTTCAGTCATTATTATTTAACAGTGCTCCTCTTCCGTAAAGCCTCTATTCCAGTCAGTTCATTTAAAACAATACAGACGCTTGAATTTTCACTTTGCCATCACAAAATCAATTAAAAACCAACATTGCCGTGAAAATGTACTACAAGCAGTTTCATCTTTTAATGCTGTAATGTATTTGTCAATAGGTGGCGACAAACCGTTGTTCGATTATTCCGTGATTACCCAACACCAAACTGTGCGTTGAAGATGTCGTCCGTACTTAGCACTTTTACTCGAAGAATTTTGCCTCATGTGAGGCAAACATCAGGTAAGAATTCAAATTTTATATATATTCAATAAACACTTGAAGCCTCTGTCAAGGTGTATTTATACTGAATAGTTATGAAGCTATCATAACCTTTAGTCGAATTTCCAAAGCACTGCTTGTGTGGACCTATTTCGCATATTTCCCAGACGGCTGAAGCAGGCGTGTCCTCAGTCTGTGTGCCGTTGCTGCTAATGTTTCATGCTACGCCTACGCATCTGATCTGGCGCAGATTATTTTTGAAAAAGTTCTAGGACTACGCCTCATCTGATTCAATTATTTCATTTATAAAAAATAAAAAAATGGTTGTATACTAGATGTATTTGACTTGAGCTGAGATCAATAAGCTTGACCCATTCATAAAAGTCAAAACAAGTGTGACTTTGACTTGTCCTTGACAAATCTTCTACCTAAATCTAGATCTAACTTAGAGTCTAGATCTACTTTCTATGCTATAGTCTAGCCATATATTTCTATCTTTTAGGATTTTATTATCTTTCTATCTCAGTTTTGGCCTCCTCCTGTTGGGCTGTGTTAATTTAATCACGATTATCATATTTACTTAACCATAATTTTACTCTTAATTCTTTATTCTTAGTCTAGATCTATAAAGATTGAGCAGATTTTTGAGATTAATAAAATAAATATTGGTCTAGATCTAGACTAGTCTCATCCTACGAAATACTTGGTAGATCTATCACTGTTTAGATGAGAGAAAATGGTGCTAAGGTAGTGATTGCAATGCTAGATGTACAATTAAAGATAATCTTTATGTTTGAGTGAAAACAGACCATTATTAATGAAAACAATTGAGAATAAAAACTGATCTGATTGATTCCTTAATTCTCCCAACTATATTATAACAATTTGATTACATTTTAGGTGAATGTAAATCGTCACTAAGCAATGAATTGGCTTTGTATACCATTCCAGACATTTAAGTGTTGAAAGATTTTTAAAAGCCTGTTTTATGTCTTATTTTCATGGAAAATGGTTGGGAGAATTTACTGTTAGAGGATGTCGCACGTGCACAGTGACGCCTTAAAAAAAATTAAGAAATATATATCTTTGTGGTTTGAGAATTGTTAGAGAGTTAGTACAGTAGGAGGAATATAATAAGTAACATTTCATACAAAAATTACGCAGTTTTTTCATCAACCTACAACAATGTTACCGAGCCACTCACTATAAGTAGTATGACTACAACCTGTACAAACCATACTATAAAGTCTCAGTCTCACAGTCAAAGATCTTTCTCTCTCGAGCTGTCTCTCTCGAGCTCTCTATCTTCTTTTCTTGTTAATCATTTGTGCTGTGTCTAGGTATTGAAGATCAATGCTAGCACAAAATCATTAACAAAAAATTGAATCTGTTCTATCAGTTTAAAACTAAAGCAAATCATTACTATACATGCATGTATATGTAAGTATAACACTTTTATACCCATTATTCATTCTATTTTCCTTTGTTTTAAAAAATGAAAGATTTTACTCTTAGAATGGATATTTTATTCATTTTTATAATAATGATAATGATAACAATACATTTAAATCAATGAATTTTTAAATGTATTAATTTTTTTTAATGAATGATTTATATAAGACAATAGATAAATAAATGAATTAGTAATTAATTACAATGAGTAATGTACCTGAACAAATAATGTATGAATGAATAAATAATTGAATTAATAAACAAATTAATTTATAAACAAATAGATGTTAAAGTATAGATAAATAAATCAACAAACTAACTGCCAGTGGTTGCAAAAGCATGTGCTGAGCAATCGTAAATGTACAGTGTAAATGTATCATCCATATCATTGAATGATCTTTTAATTGACTCCAGGCCACCAGGTCCGATGTGCCGTCTCAAGCCTGGCTAGTCTACCGGAGGAACATGAGATGCTGAGAAAGACATGCAGAGATTTTGCCGATAACGAACTTAAACCAAATGCTGCTGAATGGGACAGGAACCACACATATCCAGTCAAACAGGTATGAAGGGGAGCCCTGGTCTGCGCACCTAACATTTCATTTTAAACTGACGACAGTTTTCTATTGCATTCCCCTCATGCTTCATCTTATTATACCTTATTTTATTCTAAGTAAATATGTCTGTATCTACTATCTTATAATATTCAGGTAGTGCATTCATTTACTCATTGAAATTGGGGGGACAAAGCATAATTTGCATCAGCAGCTCCTTCTTTGTGGAATAAGTTACCTTTCTCTATTCAGACAGCCAACACTCTTTCTACTTTCAAAACTGGGCTTAAAAGTCACCTGATGCTCGATGCATATGTTTAAATTTTAATGTTCTTTTTTTTACAATACATGCAAAGCTAATAATCACACTGTGCCAGATTGTATATACCATGGCACCATGAAGTTGTGTGATCTAATTTAAAGGTAAAGACCAGTATTGGAAACGCCCCAATTTCAAAAAATGAAATGGAAGCTCTCATTACCAATCATGTGAAAGAATATGTTTTGACTAATACATGATGATAACAAATTTGCCGGGAAACCGCCTACTAATTCATATATTTGGTAAATTTGTTTCTCTCATGGTCTGTGAGAGATATAGGGTAGTCCCATATACATCTTTCTGTGTATAGGGCTTGTAACTTTACAAAGAATGGGCCAAATTTCTTATCCTTTTGATGATTCCAAAACCTTGCAGATGCTAGATGCTAGATGATCAACCTTTTCTGATCGATTCCACAACGTTTCTTTCACAATGCAATCGCATGACCATAACTAGTCTTTACCTTTAAGTTAACATTTAATAGTTCTTTAATCTTAAGTACATGTATGTTAAATATTAACTTAACTTATTTGTATGCGCCTTGAGCATCTCTAGAGATGGATATGTTATGCTCTATAAATATTGTTATTATTATTGAACAAACTGCTATGATTTCCTGCTTCGTGTATGTGAACGAGCCATTATATTGGCCTTCAGAGCCAGAAGGTCATTAACTCTGTACTAAGCAGAGTAGCAGACGTTTGGAAGGTTCAAACATCTTGGCTGGTTTTCAATTCAGTACCTCGGTCAGAAATATTATGAATATTAACTCAGTTTTCAGCTTAGACAAACTACTTTGTCAACGTTTACAGTTCAATCTTTTGCTTAAGTATTTTACCCTAACCTGCATTAAATATGGCCCCACAACTCCACATTAAATGTTTATTTAAGGGAATTGTAATAAAAAAGATTGGTTCTTTCTGTCTCAATGAAATAAATGCCAGAATGAGAGGGGCTTGTTTTTATTTTTGAGGGTACTTTACCCTCAGAATTGAACAGGATTATGAACTGTTTGGTTCCTAAATAAACATATATGTTTTTATGCTAACATACCAGCAATTTATAAGTAATGTTGTGATGCCTAGTATCTCTGTAAACAGTGCTGCTGAGTGCAAACATGGCACAGTAAAATGTAACTCAGAAAAGCTATTTGGATCAAAGCTTTATCATTAATCCATTGATCAAACTGAAGAAGGATTAAGTTGCTTATTTGCTTTTATTTGCAAGGACACAAGTCAAACCATTACATCACTATTAGACTAATTGTGCTTTAGATTTAGGCAAGTCCAAAGTGTATCCAATACATTGCCAAATTTGATTGAATTTACCTATTTGTATTCCTAAAATAAAGCAGTCTAAACAAATTCATTACTTTGTGATTCATGTATAATGCTTTCTATGTTCAAATCTAGTTTACTCCTGTGGGTAAACAAACCCCATACAGGTTCTATGACAATTGCTTCATATTCCATTTCCTGAACTACATTTGTATTACTCAATTCCTAACTTCAACCTAACTTTATCCTCAAACCCAACCCTCAAGCTAAACTCCAAACCCCATTGCACCCCTAACCCTGTGATATCTTTGATGACATAAAACCTAGAACAATTTGTCAACTGATCAAATATCTGGTCAGTGATCCAACAATTCCTCCTGCAACAATTGCTCTGGGCTTTATTTCAACCTAATTTTATTCTCAAACTTAATCCTCAATCTAACCCAAAACCAACCCTAACCCTATAATTTATATCGTGATGAAATAAATCCTACAACAATTTGTGGCGTGACCAAATAACGGCTCAGTGATCCAAAGATCCCTCCTGCAAGGATTGTTCTGGGCTCAATTTCATACAAGGTATAGGTTTTGGGCTAAGTTTGCAGCAGGGTTTTAGGTTTAGGATTAGGGTCAGGTATAGTGATGGGTTCCTGGGTTGAAGATAGGAACCCAATTTCTGAATGAAATTGACCTGGAACAATTATCACAAGGTCAAATGTACAACCGTCAGGTCACCGAGTAACATCCACTCTGCTTTGTATTTTATAGGTAAAAGGTCTTGGAGAGCTCGGCTTGCTGGCTGTGTCCGTCTCTGAGAAGTATGGAGGAACCAATCTGGACTACCTGGCGTATGCTATCGCTATGGAGGAGATCAGTAGGGGTTGTGCGAGTACGGGAACCATCATGTCGGTTAATAATGTGAGTCTGACACAAGGAATGATGATGATGATGATGATGATAATGGAAGTAGTAGTGGTAGTAAAAGTGTAAGTGGTAGTGGTTGTGGTAGAGGTACTAGTAGTAGTAGTAGTAGTAGTGAGAAGAATTATATGATAACAAATCATGATAATATTAATAGTAATGCTAATAACAACAACAATAAGAATTATTTCTGATAATCATAATGATAATTGTAATTATTGTAATAATAATACACAGTAGGCTTACGGTTGCACCATGTGAGAGAGAGGGGGGAGGATTCGGGAGTCCTGAAAAGTACTGTTGGTAATGTTTCTTTCTTGAGCGTGTGTGTAGAAAGAAAAAAATAACCACCACCACCAAAGAACTGAAAACTACACACACACATAAATGGACTAGGAAAAGAAAGATTACCAACAGTCCTTTTCAGGACTCCCCAATCCTTCCCCGGCCCCCCCCCCCCCTCTCACATGGTGCAACAGTAAGCCCACTGTATATCTACATCACCATGCAAGCTGATACTTATTATGAGCAATAATAATAATGGTGATAATATTGATGATGATGATGATAACAATGATAATAATGATAAAATAATTCATGATAATAATAAACAAAATATTATGGGGGATTCAAACAGTATCATAGCGCTTACAAGTTCATGCTGACAAAAGTACGTTGAAATGAAGCCCAAAGATGTCTGAGGGCTTTAATGATTAGATTCACTCTTTCAGCTCCTGTCAAATATACCAGTAGTGCATGATATGCTATTATTGTTGATTTGACTAATAACAATAACAATAATATTAATGATGATAATGATGAGATTTTACATATTACTTCTTGTTTTCAGTCTTTGTATCTAGGTCCTTTAGAAGGCTTTGGTACAGAGAAGCAGAAGGAAGAATTTATTGCACCGTTTGTCAACGGAGACAGAGTGGGCTGTTTTGCTCTCAGTGAACCAGGTACAGTATTTAAAACAAAAGTATATATCCCAAGATTTAAAATATCAACTGGAGCAAAGATACACGTTGCGGTTCTTGATGAGGTTCTTGATGCCTATTGTACTGGATGCCTACTTGTGCCTTTGCCCAAGTGATCTATGCGGTAAGATACTGTGCAGAAATCACCCAGAGTTTGCCTAAATTAAATGAAAAGGTTAAATTCCAACAGCATTTGAAAGACAATACTAAATTAGAACTTCCCTCAAAACGAAAGGGCTTGAAATATCTTTAGTGGGAAAGTAACAAGCATTAGTTGTCGAATCAACTTAAGTGATTGCAATTACCTATTAAAGTAATAGTCTGATTTTCAGACGCTTTTACCGAATGGTCGTATGTTTTGTGCTGCACAAAGATTCAATCAGTTTAATTTTGGCCATTACAAGAAGTGGGTTATTGATGAAGACAAATGCTCATGTACCTGTTACCTGTTACAGCTCATTTTATGTATGTTATTACCAAAGGAAAAAAGATGTCAGTCAGTCACTCAATAGTGTCTGACAGTGAAATCTAGAAGATAAACAGGTTTCCATGCTTAATTTGAATACTAATTTCACAGATAGGACATACATGACATATTCATAATTCCTGCGAAGTTCTACAGAATTTGATGTTTGCTGCAAAAGGGACAAAGTATCTTCGGATTGGTACAGTCTGTACACTATTAACCCTTAAGCGGCCACATCCTTGTCCACTCGTTCACATAGAGATGCATCATCTGTTGGATAAACACCTGAATGATGTCAAATTCCACATGAAGGCCAACTACAAGGCGTCTTTAAAGGCATTGTTTAACACTGTTAAATCTGAGATGAAAGGCCCTACGTGTTATCGGTGTCTGTGGTATGGTGTAATATTGAAGCCCTAGAAAAAAATTCGCTTCAAAATGATCATGAAGTGCCTCAAAAAGGTAAAAATCTTTTGAGTGACAGGTTTTACCATACTCATTTTCCCCGATAGACTGTAGTGTTATAAAAACTGTTATGAAAACAAAAATGAAATTCTGATTTCCATTCTTAAATATCTTGATAATCAGACAGGCGATCAGCTTGTAAAAGTCATGGGATTCCTGACTGACCTAGAGAGGTTTAAAATTATGATTGCAGCATGAGCTAAATCCAGGATTTTGTTTCAGAATCTGAGGCAATGTTACCGAGTCAATAAAGGTAAAGACCAGTATTGGAAACGCCCCAATTTCAAAAAATGAAATGGAAGCTCTTATTACCAATCATGTGAAAGAATATATTTTGAATAATACATGATGACGGGAAACCGCCTACTAATTGATATATTTGGTAAATTAGTGTATCACTTGCCTGTTGAGAGATACAAATGCATGTGTCGCGCACGTGTGCGTAGTCCCATATACATCTTTCTGTGTACAGTGATTCTAACTTTATGAAGACTTGGCCAAATATCTTTTCATTTTGATGATTCCAGAACCTTGCAGTACATCTATGCTAGATGATCAACCTTTTCTGATCGATTTCACAATGTTTCTTTCACAATGCAATCGTATGATCATAACTGGTCTTTGGCTTTAAGATATAAACCACATGCTATGAAAAGTTATGAAAAGTCCCCTAATGACTACTCTTTGTTCCTGCAGATAACGGTAGTGATGCCGGTGCAGCCTCCACCACAGCCAGGCTAGACGGTGATCATTGGGTTCTCAACGGTGCTAAGATGTGGATCACCAATGGGTATGAGGCCGAGGCTGCTATCGTCTTCGCTAGGACAGACAAAGCCATGAAACACAAGGTGAGTATTACCTGTAGGTCATCGTCATCATGTTCATCATCATCATTATCATCTTCATAATCTTCATCAACCTCATTTAATGCCCATTTTTCCTAAATCTAGAAGCCCAAAAAGAACATCCGTAACACAAAAAGCCTTGGTCTTCAGTAATAATGACAGTGATGATAATGCTAATAATCTAGGTTTATATGGCGCTTGATATATTGATGATGGCTCTAAAAAGGGCTTTACTACTACCTTGGTCATCGGATGCAGTCTTGCTTACACACAGTGTATGAACGTTCTCCACTCCCTGGGGAGCATTCCAGACAGATGCTCACAATGCTAGGCAAACTATTATTTCACATCCTACCAGGTACCCATTTTACACCTCGGTGGAGAGTGGCAAATATGGACTAATGTCTTAGAGATTAACGTTGGGCTGGGATTTGAACCCTCAACCCTTTGATCAAAGATTCGAGCAAATGAACCACTATGCCATGAGACCTCCACTGTATTTATCTGTAAATCAGTCAGAGACATATTTGTAATACATGTTCTATAAATCAAGAATATTTATTGTTATTAATATTTTTAACAATTTGTCTTTCTTCTCTTCTCCTCCCTCCTCTCTCAGGGTATCAGTGCCTTCATCGTTCCCAAGCCCTACGAGGGACTGGCGCTCGGTAAGAAGGAGGACAAGCTTGGTATCAAGGCGACATCCACATGCCAGCTCATGTTTGAAGACTGCAGGATCCCCAAGGAGAATATCCTCGGTCAAGAAGGCATGGGGTTCAAGATTGCCATGGTAGGCGTCCTCTCTCAGGTTCTTCATCCTATGTTCTGGTGACCATGGTCCTTTTCTTACACCAACCCACTCTAAAAGTTTTCAAAAATATTTTCCTTTTATCTCATGAAATTGGTATAAATATAGCGAAAATCACATGTTTTCATTGAAAATTTAATTTATATAATTGTTCTGCCCATTTAGGTATTTGAGGAAAAAGGTGCATTTGAGGCTCTTCCAACCCATGTAAAAAGTTGAATGCAAAGGTTTTTTTGTCAAAAATGGGTAAAAAGCCAAACAGACCGTGTGATAAAGCAATAAAAAAACAGAATAAAAATCAGAAAGAAAAAAAATATAGTGCTTAGCATTAACTTTTTTTCTAACCAGTTTGATATATATATATATATTAACATATTAAGCAATTTGCTAACTTAATGAAATAAATCTCTTACCAAAATATGTTCTTTGACCTCTCTCTTCCATCCCCAGTCTACCTTAGACGCCGGTAGGATTGGCATCGCTGGACAGGCCCTGGGAATAGCCCAGGCCTCCATTGACTGCGCCATTGACTACGCCACCAAGAGGGAGGCCTTTAACCAGCCCATCTCACGCTTCCAGACCATCCAGACCAAGCTGGCCGACATGGAGGTCAGAGTTGAAAGTGCAAGGTTGCTGACCTGGAAGGCAGCCATGATGAAAGACGCAGGCCTAAACTACACGCAGGTATGTATGCTTTCGTAGTAATAAGACACATAATGCGGCATGATGATGGCTTGATGATCAGAGTCATAGAAGGTTGTACACATGGAAAGAAGAAGAGAGGAAAACCTCGTAAAGGCTTTCTAGATGATTTAATCACAGAAATTGGAGCAGCAGGATATGAAACGCTGAAACGGATGGCTCAAGACCGAGGTACTTGGAGAGACACTTGATATAAATTCTGATTGGGTCACTGAACCTGTCATAAACTGACAGATCACTATTGATGATAATGAGAATATCATAGTTGTATAAAGCATTGACATGTAAGTGATGCTACATACTAAATGATTAAATGATATGATTATTATTTTTGCTTCAGGGATACTTTCTGTGCATGGGCAGATAAAGGTCACTTGTACAAAACTCTAAAACCCATTAAGATGACTGCTAAGTACATATTCATGAAAGTTATGTAATCATTATTCATTTATGCACCAACAGTAAATATTCATTTTCAGAGGGCAAACAAATGGAATCTAAGGAGCATCTCCTTCACTTGGGCAGTGATTATTCTAAAATGCACAAAGTGGAACATCTCCATGGGTAAAAGATCTGTGGATATTTCAGGGTCATTTGTAGAAGTGATATCTCCGGAAAGGCTTATTGTACACAAGCTAAGACTCTATTTTGATACTTACACTGTTGTCGAGGAAATTTGAAGCAAGCTGAAATGTTTTTTTCAACAATTGAACAAGAACAATTACGGTACAGAGCCTATTGAAATGTAGTCTATATCCAACAAAATTCAGACCTGGCATAGTGGTTTTCACAGAGCTTTGACTCTGAACCGTGTGGTTCAATTGGAAATATTTTAAGCCAAAAGAGTGTGGAAAAGTTCTTCCCACATGATGTACATAAGAACACATCTTTTTCTTTCTCTAGTAGATGTAGGATGGGTGCAAATGCCTTTGAATTCAGTTTTCCACAAGGGTATTACGTGTATAATCTGCAGTCAATTTATTTCAGTATTTTGTTCTTGTTTATGCTTATAGGAGGCTGCAATGGGAAAGCTAGCAGCATCAGAAGCAGCTACTTACTGCAGTCATCAGGTAAGTGTCTGAAAGTGAATATATCCCTATGATTTAACATCTGTAAGGCTTGATCAGATTTGACGCCAAAAAAAGGCCAATATTTTGTATGAAAATCGTATCCGATCAAATTACAACTTGCCTTTGAATCACTGGAAAGCCAAGTATCATTTTAGGGGTCCACAACTGTACAAGCATTGCTTTATAGTGGACCCCTCTGTTTCCAACATGTATTCCTTAATTGTTGTAAGTAATTATAATTGATTTTTAATGTTTTGTTGGAAACAGAAATAAAATTGAATTGAATTGAACTGAATTGTAGATGATTTTTTTTTGGTACATGCTCCGACATTTCCCTCTGGCACCAATTGCTCTTAGCTATATTTCATCAAAGAATTGATTGAATGTTATGCATGCAATTGGATTTTAGCTTTAGGATTAGGATGAAGATTGAGTATAGTGTTTGGTTCATGGCAGAATGTAGGAAAATCTGTTTTCGTAGGATATTGGCCACGCAGGAACTGCCACAAGAGCATGTGTGGTACAGTCAAACCTGTCTGTATAGTCCGGCCAAGGGAAACACAAAAAGTGGTCTTTGTAGACAGGTTCCTTTAGTACATGTTTCAATGAGAAACCATTTTCAAGGGAAACAAAAATTGTTTGTCTTTGTAGACAGGTGGTCACTCAAGCAGGTTTGACTGTACATCCAATATAAACAACCTCGGTATATTTATTCAACAATAAAAAATGATACATATTAGAATGAGAATAATAATATGAATGTTTGCTTCCTGGTCTCATGACTCGCTCTATATCATCCTCCTACAGGCCATCCAGATACTTGGCGGTATGGGTTACGTGACGGACATGCCGGCCGAGAGGCACTACAGAGACGCCAGGATCACAGAGATCTACGAAGGAACAAGTGAAATTCAGAAATTCGTCATAGCTGGTCAGATGCTCAAGAAACACTCAGAAATGATGAGCTAATATTCCGTCTTAACTCTTGCCTGAAGAATCGTTCACATTATACATGGTAAACCGCAGAATTCAGGGTTTTGAGTTTTTTGTTTTACTGTTAAATAAATGGCAAGTGGGGTGAGAAAAAAGGATCTGCAGGCAGCAAAGACCTAATGTGTAATCACTTATCTGTATAGTATAACATACAGAAACGTAGAGCGCGTTATGCTGTGTCCTCATATCTTGCCCTGGTGGTTTACTAACAGGATATGAGAACGAGGCTTTCGGTGTGGGCAAGTCCCAGGTTTTTTGCGCCATACGTCAATGACAAATCAAAGAATGAAGTACGTCCATCAATTCAATTCAGTTGATAGCCCTAAAATAGCCGAGATCAGAACAAAAATCAAGTTCATTCTTGACCTTGATACTTATTTTCGTTATTGATCCATGGTTCTTTGCTCTTGGGGGACACAACGTGGCCCAAAATCCTGGACTTGCCTTCATGTATATACAGAGATATACATTAAATATATATATATATATATATATATATATATATATATTTCAATAGCCTTCCATTCTTCTGCACTTGTGCTGCTGTGATAATGGTTCCACAAAGGTCAAGTCAACTGAAAATCCACAGTCTGACTCCCTCCCTATAATTCCCCCTCCCTTATTCTTTTTCAATATAATTATCCGTCAGTCCTTCGCAGAATTTATCTTTGTATATGTGTAGATGTGAATATGATATCAAAATATTCAGAGGATGAGAGTATATTTTGTTAATACTTCCAAGTTTTTGAGTAAAAGGCAATATGAAAACAGTATTACATTGTATTTTACTTACACAGTCAGGCTCTCTTATTTCAGTTGTTTGGCCTAGGCAACATGTCCATTTCTCATATATCGTCGTTGGGGTGACAAAACCTTGTATCTCAATTTTTTATGCCTCCGTTACGAAGTAGCCGGAGGCATTAAGTTTTCGGGTTGTCCGTCCGTACGTCCGTACGTCCCGTTCTTGTGATCGCGTTATTTGAAGAACCGATCGATGGATTCCTGCCAAACTTTGGTCATGTATGTATCTTGCAGAGCCGATGAACTGATTAGATTTTGGGGTCACGACGTCAAAGGTCACAGGGCTCATTAGGTATGCAAAAACAGCTCGTAATTGCGTTATCTGAAGAACCGATTGATGGATTCCTGCCAAACTTTGGTCATGTATGTATCTTGCAGAGCCAATGAACTGATTAGATTTTGGGGTCATGAGGTTAAAGGTCAAAGGTCACAGGGCTCATTATGTATGCATAAACAGCTTGTGATCGTGTTATCTCAAGAACCGATTGGTGGATTGCTGCCAAACTTAGGTCATGTAAGTTACTTGCAGAGCCGATGAACTGATTAGATTTAGTGGTCATGAGGTCAAAGGTCAAAGGCCACAGCACACATTATGTATGCAAAAACAGCTTGTGATCGCATTATCTCAAGAACCGATTGATGGATTCCTGCCAAAATTAGGTCATGTATGTTACTTGCAGAGCCAATGAACTGAGTAGATTCTTGGTTCATAAGGTCAAAGGTCAAAGATCATGGGCTCATTATGTATGCAAAAATAGCTTGTGAACGCATTCTCATTAGAACTGACAAATGGATTACTATTTAACTTAGGACATCTTGCAGAGCCAATGAACTGAGTAGATTTTAGGGTCATAATAATAATAATAATAATAATAATAATAGCCTAATAGTCCACTCCAAATTTTATTAAACCGAAACGGAAATTCTTGAGGTCAAAGATCAAAGGGTCATATATGTATATGAGAAATTGCTTGTAATCACGATATTCTGAGAACCTGTCAGTGGATTACAATTGAACTTGAATTCGAAAAATTTCTTCTGTTTTGGTTTGTAAAATTGCTCTATGACGGAGGCATCATTTTCGACTGCGTGCAGTCGAATTCCATCTAGTTGAGATTTTGATTTTTTTTTGCATAATTTTGTACCTAATGGCCTACAACACCACCTGATAAATCCATGGAACGTCTCCGTCTCGGTTTTTTTAACAAATTTCACACAAACACCCTTAAACTAAACTTCGTAACTTTAACCCCCTTTGAAGCTGCACTGACAAAACCTCGTAACATAAGATGCATAATTCCTTTTCCTTGTAACTCACACACGGCCTAACAGTACCGAAGGTAGTGTATTCAAATCCTTGTAATTTATTCAACCAAATCCTCGTAACTCATTCAGAGTTGAAAGTAAGAACTCGTATCTCAATTTGAATAAAAACTAAAAACTCGTATCTCAATGTAGATAAACGCAAAAACCTTGTAACTCACTTTCAAATATAAAAACAATTATTTTACTGTATTCCAACAATGATATTAAAAATTGTATAAATATTCCAGTTTTAAAAAGAAAGGATGGTGTCACAGCACTAAATTTGTTGAGACAGGAAAGTTTTTTTGCTCTCCTGAAAATTCATGATTTTTGAGATACGAGGTTTTGTCACCCCACCAACGATATGCCATTGATCTTGGAAAAATGATCAGATAGTATTACTAAGGTAACTTTTTCCAACAACAAAAAAAATGTAAGAACACTATAAATTTGCCTTTTAGTTGTCGTAAATCCATCGGTTAGTAGAACTAAGCCTAGACATTAAAATACAGCTCGAGTTAGGTAAAGAAAGGTTCTTGTTCATTGACATGTTTTCTCAGGTGAAGAAAATGTTTACAAAATACAAGCCACTTAATTATGAATAGGGAGCATATATACCAAATTTGTCTATTAGCTGGAGTGAAGTGCTGACCAAAGAAACACCTTCTTTTTGTTTTTAATACTTTAAGGTAGGCAGAACATTGCTTCTTTCTCATAATTTCCAGGTGATTTTACTTCATGTTTCATTTCATTTCATTTCATATCATTTTGTTGATCACATGCTATATTTATTTAAATATTATTTTGAAATGATTCAAATATTTGTCATTTAAATTATTTTTAAGAGTGGAAATACTTTGACATTTTACAATGCAGTGGGGCAAATTTTAATTGTCTTGACAACAGTTATCGGGATACCAAGCTCTGATTTCAATGTAATTAGAAAGCCAATTTGCAATGTTGAAAACTGTAGATTTATGTTTATGTGTCCCTTACCAATATTTTAACTTAATTTGCTATAAGCAAGAACAGCTTATATCAAGGTGATATTTATCATCTGCTGACAGCCAGAAGGGCAATAAACCATATGTTTTATGTAGGCTTAACGGCCTTCTGGCTCAAATTTTTCCTTCAATATATTACATCTTGAGCTAAGGTGTAAAAGTCAATACAATACATGGTATTCATTTTGTAGTTAATGTATTCTTTGAATGACCTGAAAAATAATCAATATTAAGATAATCATCCTACTTATGACAACTTTGATCATTAATTCATCCTTGTCCCACTATATAAAATATTGGTACTGTTGTTCTCTTAAGGAATGAATATATAGTGTATATATTTCAGAGTTTTGAAATATTATTGTACAGGTTTAGTTGTCTCTATAATGTTGATGAATATGCAATATCAATAGAACTGATGTTTCTTATCTCCAATAAATGGTATTTGAAATGAATATTAGAATGATTGTTAATTGTTTGGTTAATGGAATAAAGGATTAAGGAATGTATGTAACAGAGAAATAATGACAGAGAGAAAGAAAGAGAGATAGATAGAGGGAAGGAGGGGGAGAGAGAGAGAAAGATAGAGAGAGAGAGATAGAGGGAAGGAGGGAGAGAGAGAGAGAGAGAGAGGGGGGGAAAGAGGGGGAGAGAGAAGGAGAGAGAGAGAGAGAGAGAGAGGGAAGGAGGGGAGAAAGAGAGGTTGAGTTGAGTTGAGTTTGAGTTTGAAGTTTATTATCCAAAACAAAAAGTACATCAATATAACAAATCAAATGTGAATGGTTAACATTGAAAGGATAAATGGGACCAGAAAATAGCATTTAATGCTAATCGTGTCTAGTACCACTAACACACAAAAAGTATCACAGCAATAAATGAGAATGTAATGAATAAATATGAATAACTATTGAATTCATACCTAAGCTACAAACTATTCTACATCTAGGGTAAATGTGTTCTGTGCTTATTTTCAAAGCTTTGGTATTTTACACTAAATAAAAGATGAAGAATTATATAACAAAACATTTACAAAAAGGCAAGAGCCTTGGTTCTAAGTTATAAACAACTATTCTATTAACATTTGTGATATAAGAGTTCTACGAAAGCAAGACACTGATGCTTTCTCCCTTACAGAAAGGGGTAGATCATTCCAATAGCATGTGCCTCTGAATGACATTGAAAATTTACCTTGCGTTGTCCTTACTTTAGGCACACTTAACTTCTTACTTTCTCTTTGTCTAGTTTCATAGTTGTGCTCTATGAAACAGCAATACTGAATTAGAGACTGTGGCAATTTATCATTCAATAAGTGATACATAAAAACACAAACAGATAATTTATGGAGTTGATACACATTCAATAATTTTAGCTCCTGGAATATCGGTTGTGAATGAGTCCACATTGGACTAAACGTTATAACTCTTAGTGCCATCTTTTGGCTTAATAATAAGCACTTCATGTTCATTTCATAATTACTTCCCCAAACCTCAATTCCGTAGGTCATATGCGGTTGGATGAACGTCTTATACAGTAACAACAAAACACGCCTTGGCACAAACTGTCTTAATCTATATAAAACACCAACCCTTTTCCTAATAAACTTATTAACCCTTTGGATATGAGGTTTCCACGTCAAGTGTTGATCTATATAAATTCCTACAAATGATGCAACATCAACCTGGGTTATTTCAGTCTCTGCTATTTTTAGCACCCCTTGAGTCACTACTGATTGCCTACTCCCTCTTATTAACAAATAATTAGTCTTTAATAGATTGACTGTAAGTTTATTCACCTTACACCATATGGTCACCTTATCAAGATGCATATTAACTATATTATCCATATCAATTGAATTCTGTCTCGGTGGAAACGTATGAAACAAGTTAGAATCATCGGCAAAAAGTCTAAAATTAAAATAATTTGTTGAGTTTGGTAAATCGTTTATGTACAACAAAAACAGTGTAGGTCCCAACACAGAACCCTGAGGAACACCACATGTTATTATCTGCTTCAATGAGCTATGTCCATCATAGTTCACAAACTGAAATCTATTACAAAGATAATCTTTAAACCACTGGAGAGGAAGGCCCCTTATTCCATAATGTTCTAATTTTCCAGCCAATATTGCGTGATCAATTGTATCAAAAGCTTTCTGGAAATCTAGGAATACACCTAGTGTTACACTGCCCTTATCCAGTGATTTAAGCACATCATTAACCAAATTAATTAAAGACAACTTAGTACTATAATGTTTACGAAAGCCATACTGGTGCTTATACAAGACATCATTTCTTTCAAAATAATCAAGTAGCCTCTTGTTTACTAATTTCTCAAATATTTTGGCCAAAAGAGGCAAAACTGAAATAGGTCTGTAATTGCCTGGGACATTTTTATCTCCCTTTTTAAAAATTGGTGTAACTTTGGCTACTTTCATTGCATCTGGGAACACACCGTTCAATAATGACTGATTATAAATATAAGATAGTGGTTTTGCAATTACTTCAGCAAGCATCCTTCAGTAATCGGGCTGGAATATCATCAAAGCCGCAAGCTTTCTTTACATTTAAAGTTAATAAATAGTCCCGTACCTGATAATGAGTAACTGGTTCCCAAAACATGGAGTCAATTATTCCATCACTAAGATAACCTTTGAATGTAATAACATCGTCAACATTACCATTAATAGATTTAGCAAGGTTAGGCCCAACGTTCACAAAAAAATCATTAAAGCCTTCTGATATTTCTTTCCCTGAGGTTACAACTTTCTTACTACCATTAGGTAGGGAGAGAAAGGAAGGGAGGAGAGAGAGGGAGAGGGGGGTAGTGAGATACCGAGAATAGAAATCATATTCATATTGAAAGGAAGTGAATTTAATGCTACGGTCACAAAGGTTCGTACGAACATAGACCTACCACCTGATGGTACGAACGATAATTTCGTACGAATCTCCCTGTTTTTCCATTGTCTTCCCGAATTTTCATTGTCTGCAAATCGTTCGTACGGCGTTCGTAGCAGTTTGTAATGGCATTTGTGACCGAGGCTTAAGATGAGAGAAAGGGCGGATAGAGCAAGAAAGAGTAAAAGAGAGTGAAAAAGTAATAAAGCATGAGCAATTTTGTATAAGAGTTTGAAGTGATATTCTAACACCTGTCCGTATTCGAAGGCGCGGAATAAAAGGAACATCCCCTTAGCCCCTGTCCTCTGGAGTAAATGATTTGTTAGTATTCTCTCTCTCTCTCTCTCTCTCTCTCTCTCTCCTTCCCTCCCTTTCTCCCTCCCCTCGCTCTCTCTTTCTTTCACACTCTATCTCTCTCTCTCTCTCTCTCTCTCTCTCTCTCTCTCTCTATCTCTTGTTCTCTCTCTCTCTCTCATCTAAATTTTGATCTTGACTTGCAATTTTAATGAAGCTAATTCCCTCTACATCATCTCCTGTCCTCATACCTCGCTGATGTTTTTCATGGAAATTATGAAAAACAGGTCATTACGTGTTCCAATATTTTTTCTTTCCCCCCATATTACGCTTGCAGGGAGTTAATGAGGAAGAAACAAGGCAAGAAGAAACCTGTCGTCACAGAAGGCAGCAAAGCAGATGAGAATCATCAAGGGAAGAGTGCTGCACCGGGAAAGTCAAAAATGAGGAAAGGAGGGAAGAAAGATGGGTTCAAGAACGAAGGAGTGGAAGATAGCGAGATGAGTAAAGTATCAACGGGGAAGCAAAAGAAGAGGAAAGTGAAGAAAAAGAAGCTTGCACCTGCATCATGATGATAGCTTGAAGAACTTTGGTTGGACGATGGCACCAATGTTGTGGTTATATATAATGTAAATGTACTAAGACACACGCATGTTAAAATCAAATCTCTGATCTTGAGCAACATAGTGATATAATTTCAAATAACTTTTAAACTTCTGCTTTCTTCCATTGTGATATATAGATATGATATAAATATGCTTAAAATTCCTTCAATTTGAAACACATTGAGAGATTCAAATTCATTGTTTTTCTACCAAAATTTTTCAATTTTTTTCTTCAATTTTTAGTCAACATTCTTACCCACATGAATTATATTGTTTTCAGAGACATTGTTTTATTTTAACAATAGCAGTAAAAGAAAATTATTATTATTGCCAATTTTTAAGAATGATATGAGATCATTTAGTCTTTAAAAATATATCCTGTCCTGAAAAGGTTATATTTGCATATTCCTGATTGCTATCCTGAAAATGAAATATCTTAGGAATAAACATTAACAAATAAATTATTCATATGCCCCGGTGACACTTGCCCGCATTTTTGTTTGCGCATAGTATGCGCAAAGACACATACTCTTGCGTGCCAATGCGGGAAGTATTCGTGGTAGCGTGCGGGAAGGTGCGGACGGATGCGGGCCGTGCGTGAAATGCGTGACAGAATTTTCAAAATGTTCAAAATTTTGGCACGATAATTTTGTTTGGCAACGTTCGTGAACACTTCGTGAACTATGCGCACCCTATGCGCACACTAGTCGTGCTAATGCGCGCCGATGCGTGTCCGATGGCCTAGTGGCACGCATGTTCACGACTAATATATTGCGTACAATTGCGCATTGGCTGCGCATACTTCCCGCGCAATTTTCGCATGCCATGCGCATAGTCTACGAATGCGTGTCCTGGTGGTTACGCATCGCGTGAACTTTTCGTACATTAGACGTGACCCTGCGAGCCACTAATTGGCACGCATTGGCACGCCACAGAGCGGGGCAGTGCGGAACCAAAATGCGGGCAAGTGTCAATGAGGCATAAAGTTCTGTAAGTATGTAAACAATTAATTTGCCCCAATTTACCTTTCTTCTGCATGTGACATACTAAAGCTCACATCCAAATATGCTAATATAATAATACAAAGGCCCAACCAGTCTGCCTTTCATTATTGAGTTATGTAAAACACAAAACACATCAAATTTACAAGGGGTATGAATAATTTAGTTGTTAACAATACCCCGCACCTTTCATACTATTTGATTTTCAAGTTCAAGTTTACTTTTTAACAAAAAAGGTTATAGTTTAGAGTCATTAAGACAAGACCAATCTCTGATATTCATACAAGGAATAAAAACTTAATTTAGTAAATTAAATTTAATAACTAAATCCTCTTTTTCTCTGTGTCTTTTTTTAATCACTTTAGTTCATATAAAAAGGAAATCTGAATTCATAGATTAAAACAAAATATTAATTGATTTTTAAAACTTTGCATATTTTGAAAGATCATAATAATTTTTCTCCTCACCGATTATGAGCAAGCAAAAAGCAAGACCTCTTATAGCCACATCTAATGTAATAGGGTTTTCTAGGTAAATTACAGTGACCTCATTTTCTTCCTCAACAAACATCCAATCATCATATTTTCATGATTTTTCTGCAAAAGACACTCCACTTTATAAGTACAAAAAAATAATATTACACTTTTCTCTCTTTTTTTTACCTCCAGTTTATTCAATGTTAGCAACACATTACATGCAATGGATGCAAAAACAATTTATCCTGTTCAATATACTATTAAATAAACTTTAAATACTTTAAATAATTTACTACTTATACATATTTTCTTGTACATCTACAGTCACAAAACCTTTTAGATTATAAATAGTCATAATACTCGAGGACGAATGAAGGGCTTTCGAGGCTGTAAATCCTCACATGTTTATAATGATAATCATAGTAATAATACACATTCTGAATAATCCATATGTGATATGTATATTACAGCACTCGACTCTTATGTAATGTTTTCAGTCTTGATTACATCTAGATAAATACAACTTAAATATGAATTTTATTCTTATCAAGTCTTATTTCTTCCCTCAATTTTGTTCTGTCCTTGAACTTCAATCAATTACCTCATCTGACCTCTCCCCCATTTAAAGTAAAGGGGTCATTGGCGATATGTCATTGATTTTCCCATAATATTTTTGGAATTTCTTTTTTTACTTCGAACATAGAAAGTGACCAGGTTTTGTAGATAAGCCTGGGTAAGCCTATTTAAAGCACATTGCTAGATTAGATAACGACAGTTATGTAATGTCGTTATAACAAAAAATCTGTTTCTTCAAAGCAATATGTAATATCTGCTAGGGGTTCTCTGTAGAGTCCCATCCATTTGATCTGGTGTGATGGAGATGCGCTCTTGAAGCAGACTCCACACTTTGCTTAAATTTTCTCTACAGTCCCATTCATTTGATTTAGTGCGGCAGAGATGAGCATTCTAGCCAGTCTCTGAACTTGTTGAACTGGATCCTGAGGTGGAGGAAGAGGTGGAGGTGGAGTTGGAGCTGGAACGTCTGTAGCGAGCTGCAAAATGGGAATAGGAATGGGTATACTCTTAGAGTACTTAAAATTAGCTTTCATAAACTTTTGTTTAACATCACTTTAGTGTTCAAAATTGCACATCAAAGAAGCAGATACAATAGCCCAGGACATTTCCATTTTACCGGAAAATGCAGGGCATTAAAAGTATATACAGTGCGTCCCAGAAAAAACGAAACCGAGAAGTATCGATGTTTTATCATAACTTAATCACAACCATAATTAATGAATGATACATATTTGGAAAGCTTAGAGTCTCCTCTTTTAGTTGATGATACTCACGTGATGCATATTTCACGCATGAGTGATTAAAAGCAATTTGAAGGAAGAAAACCAAAAAGTACTTTGGCGGGCGGTATCTGAATTTCAAAGAAAAATTCATATTTCTAGAAAGTTCATTTTCTGCTCTTTCATATGATACCTCAATCAAGAAAAATGAGCGAGGAATAACAAAGTTCTGTTTGTTTAAAGTAGCCCTTACATTTTATTAAATTTTAACAAACGAATTCGTTTTCACTGGGTGCCTGCCGTAGCAAAAAGCAGATTTGACAAAAGACTTAACTCCGTTTCGTTGACAATCAGCCATGCATGAAGACTCTCGTCTACGACTGATTGTCAACGAAACGGAGTTAAGTCTTTTGTTAATTTCGTTTATTGATACGGCAGGCAGCCAGTAAAACGAATTCGTTTAATAAAATTATGGAAATGCAAGCACTACTTTAAACGAACAGAACTTTGTCATTCCTAGCTCATTTTTCCTGATTGAGGTGTCATATGAAAGGGCAGAAACTCAACTTTCTAGAAATGTGAATTTTTCTTCGAAATTCAGATACCGCCCGCCAAATGTCTTTTTGGTTTCCTTCATTCAAATTGCTTTAAATCAATCATGCGTGAAATGTGCATTATCTGAGTAGCATCACATGAAAGAGGAGACTCTAATGAGCTTTCCAAATATGTATCATTCATTAATTATAGTTTTGATTAAGTTATGATAGAACATCGATACTTCTCGGTTTCGTTTTTTCTGGGACGCACTGTATAATTTTGTTTTTATAAAAAAGTCTTGATAAAATGTTAGCCACGCAATGAAAATTTTAGTAAGTTTGTTGACGAACAAAAATAATAAGAAAAAAAAATTCTATGAAAGGGGAAGAATTAAGTTATAATAAACTTTATAAGAGTATGAGGAACTTTTTCTTCTCGGAATTTTTTTCACCAAAGTTGTCTGCAATTTTTCTTGAATACACCTCCTCCTCCCCTCCCACCCCCCCCCCGCCCCCCTCCCCCAACTGCCCCACCCTCTTTCGAATGCGATGCCCCCTGTCCTCCCGTTTTGCTTCTTACTCACCACTGTCCGGAATTTGGATCACAGGGGTACAGAGATGCTCTAAGATCTCGCACGCCGAATCGAACTCGAAGCCCTCAACGTTAGGATCAGCGGTCTGTAATCCCAGTTTCCCTTCCTCGGCCAGAGTGAGATGGACGATGATGTCGGTAGCTAAGGTTTGATCCTTGAGGTCGTACTGGATGCTCGCGATGAATTCCTCGGTACATTCGGGGTTTCCTGAAGTGTCGAGGAGGGCTATGTATCGCGGACAGAGCCCCAGGAAGATGGAGTTGATGTCGAGACTGCGTGCTGGGTTAGCTGGAGGAGGAGGATAGCAAGGGAAAGATATTAAGAAGAATGATGGGGAGGATGATGATGAAGTTAATGGTGATGATTTCTTTTGAAGAAAATATAGACATGTGGATAAACACTCTTTAACATTATGGACTCATTTTGAAAAATTCAAAGAAACAATTAAGAAATCCACATTATTTTGTTGAATATAAGAATACCTAAGCAGTTTCAAAATCTCTTTTTAACACTTTCAACATGTATTGACAACTTAGCTATTAAAAGACCATAATCCAATTTGTTGTATGAGCTCATCGTATATTTCATGGCAGCTATTTAAAGGCCATCAGACATCGCATTGTTTTGACTGACAAAAGTTTGTGCCAGCAAACTAACGTTGATTGGCCACGCCTCTTTCAATCAAACAGCACAGTCTACCGAATGAAAAAGGAAATGAGTGACATCTGTCACAAATTTAGCCATTTAATATATCATGGGTGTATCCAGGATTTTGTAAATGGGAGGGAGGGGCACTCATTCCGACGAATTACACAGTCAAGGGGTAAATTTTTAGCTGTGTACTTAGGGTACGCCGATTGGCCCCCCAAGGAGGGGGCCGGGATGCGTTATTTTCTTCTGCGGCACAGATTGGGGTTTTTTTTAAAAGAGGTCTTGATTTAACCATAACCCTAACCCTAACCCTAAACTTTCCCATACGCTCAACACGCACCTAACCCCAATCTGTGCCGCAGAAAAAAATAACGCGGCCGGCGTGAGCCGGTTGTACTCCCATAAATCAGCCACTCATGCATTACATGCCCACAAAATATTGTGCACTTCTTAAAGTAGACACACGAAGAAACAAAAGCGTTTTGAATTGATGCAAAACTCATATCATTGCGAAGGGGAAGCCTTAATGATCAAATACAACAACTCTCCTCTTCAAAATATGTTTGGGGACTGCAGACTGCTACACGCGCGACCCCGGTACTGAGCTGTTTGTCCAATGTGTGACGTCACTATTCAGAGCTCGCTACGCTCGTGTGTTTGGCTTACGTTCAGGGGCGTTCGGGGGTCGAAGAAGGGTCTTCAAAAATTGCATTTTACGCCTTTCCATGATATCTATATGATTTCTCAGCAAATGATTCGTGTTTTTCAAGAGAAAATCTTTCCATCCATATTTAATTTGTTTTAATTATCAGTTGTAGTGATTTTTTCTTTATTGCACAGTTAGTTTTTACACTAAACAAACAACTTTATTAATATGTGGAAATTAGTTAAATGTTGCTTTTAACCAGAAAATGAGAAACTCCTTCCATTTTTAATTATTTTAGGGCATCATTAGAGCACGAACACACAGACTTTCCAAAAAAATCAACCCAAGGCAATATCAATAGATTTGTGACTTGTCGACAACCTAATGAAATCTGGGGACATTACAGTGACATGTTACGTAATCGGAACATGACTTATATGCGATGTCACAATGAGGTATAGATAAATTGCCTTTGAGTTGATTTCTCGAAAGTCTTCACGATATTCTTTATTTTCTTACCTTCTGTATAATGCACCGTGGCATACATGGCCAAGCTAAGGCTGAGGATAGCAGCGATTCGTGTCTGCAATGGAAACAACAACATAGATATGACAAAATAAGCAGCGAAAAATAAAAGAGGCGGAATTCAAAGAGGAGGGAACGATAAAGAAATTGTATAGGATTTAGGGACAAATTTCTATTGACGACAAATCAATAAACAGTGAGAGTTTAATCGTCTCATCAAAAATATTGAACAAAACACGACTTTTTGACAACTTTGAAGAAAAATATGATTAAGAAGAAAAGAAGAAGAAAAGGTTTTTGAATAATAAAATTCTCCTCTGACTACACATAGTTTTATCAGAACGATGAAACGTTTAAAATCTTCCTTTGACGATTTAACAGCCCAATATCGGGATAAAAATAGATGTATACTATTCAGTTCAGTTCTACTATAGTAATATCAGTGACACAATTATTGATCAGAATAACGCAATATTGATGACGGAAATGACCAGACAAAAAGCTAACAACTGTACACCTTAAAAATATGTGATATCCAAACATGATAGACTAAGAAGAAATAATTAATGAGAGGAAAGTTAAAATGAAGATTTCAGAACTTAAGCCACTCACCGATCCCATGTTGATAGAGTCGAAGCTAATAAATTCGCCGAAACTAGTGATTTATCGGTGATAAATCCGTTGAATTCCAGAGGATTTGTGATGTAGATTTCAGATATACCTACCCCTTTTATAGCATTTTCCCCGCCGCCAGAAACAAAATATGGATTAAGCATTATAGATGCCATTTAAGAAGTTTAAAAGCATAGGAATTAGGCTTGACGAACAATGGCATTGAACGTAATTATTAATCCCCACGGGGTTTGTGTTATGTAGTTACGCGCTTGCTTTACCTTTGGCTTTGCCTTGCAAACTTGAATTTAAATCAGATTTGATTGAAGTCAAGGTTGTACGATAAACAATTGCAGAGATCGTCAACTTTATTCAGCTATACAAAAAAGGTGATTAGATAAACAGGCCTATTTAATACCATAGTGTTAATAATGCAAGGTGTTATTTCACTGATTTAATGGAGATCAGCAGCCCCTACCCCCCTAATAATCTTGTTTGCCAAATTCGAATCTTTTTATAAATATTTATGGCTAGTCTACGTCCTCTTAACCTATCCCTCCTCGAAATGGGTAATATGCCAACGAAAATTTGTCATACACGTCTGGATCTATCATTTAAACAGAATGCATACCACTTGATCAGTGTCATTATCATTTACCTACAAGGTAGCGTCAATATGTGTCGATAGGTTAAGGAGTAGGAGTAGGGGGAGGGGGGAGCCACCTCTCAATAATTTTGAATTCTGTATAGCGCGTATCATTATTCGAAAATATGTTTCCCCTCTCCCCTTTAAGAAAAAATGTTCCTACACCTCCCCCTCCCCCTTAGGGAGCCACATTTTTATATGGGTCCAGAGGGGGTGTTTCACAAAGATCCTAAGTTGAACGTATCTCTAAGTTGGACACAACAATTAAGAAAAGCCAGTAGCATCTTTGAAATATTTTGTAAAAGTTGTTTTTAAAAGGCATAACATAATTCATATTTTCTATTATCATGGAAGATTCCATGTGCTTGATTTGGAATTTATGAAAAGTTTAAAATACTTGAATTTTAATATATTTTATTTTAAGGTTACAAATGGCTCTCCATAATATTTAAGGCAACTTAGAGTTAAGTTCGACTTAGAATCTTTGTGAAACACCCCCAGGAGGACAGCCTATGATATTTTGTTTTCTTTGTTGTAAAAAGATTCCTGATTTTTCGAGAGTTGAATTCTCTTAAAAAAGCTATATTTTATGTTTCAAAGCAGAGTTTTTACAATGATTATTAATTTCGATGTAGAAACTTCCTTTGACTTTAAATGATTAAACTGATGTTGCGTAAGTTTCCAAATTGTAATGCAATTAATATAGCACAGCAAGTGTTCCATCGCTTAATTATTTAATTATCTTGGCCCAAAACTTTGCCTGTTATTCATCGAGAAAACGGTAGCCTCCCTTTTTCCTTTCATGTGAAATAATCTAGTATTGGAAAATAATTCATTTAATTGCCGTTTCCTTTCACCCTCAGTTGCCGGTGTTCCATACAATACAGTACCGAAACATATGTTTTTATCAAATTATTTCTTTTGCAAGGCTTTCCGTCAAAATGTAAAAATAACATGTGTTGATCTTAATAAATGTTGACCTCCACCTATAGGAACGTCATTAATGAAAAAAAAGTCGCAGTTGTCCAACTTTGCCCAAATCCTCTGAATATGACCTTTTATGTTAAATGTCAGTATCTGGGTGGCATTATTAAAGTCATGATTTAAAAAAACACATATGATGTTCATTAAACCATGGGCATTGTCCGATAATATTTAGCCATGGTTCAAAATTAAATAAAAGGATTCGTTTTTATTCCATTTTGTATCCGTCTCTCTCTCTCTCTCTCTCTCTCTATCTCTCTTTTCTCTCTCTCTCTCTCTCTCTCTCTCTTCCCACTTTCCCCCTCTCCCTCCTCTCTCTCTCTCTCTCTCATTCTCTATCTAACTTTCCCCCTTCTCTCTCCCCCTCCTCTCTCTTTCTCTCTCTCTCTCTTTCTCTCTCTCTCTCTCTCTCTCTCTCTCTCTCCCCATCTCTCTCTCTTTCTCTCTCTCTCTCTCTCTCTCTCCGTCTCTCTCTCTCTCTCACTCTCAGGCACGTAGCCACGAGGGGGGGGGACGGGGCACGTGCCCTCCTAAAATTTCCAAGATCGGTTGAACTTTTTTAGACCCCTTTTTTTTACCTCGATCGATTACATGTGTATATGCCCCCCCCCCAAACATCGAACTCTGGCTACGTGCTTGCTCTCTCTTAGTCTCAGTTCCCCCCCCCCCCCCCATTAAAAAGAATATAGACATGCCTGCTGTCCGTGTACGTCCCCTCTATGCCAGCGTAAAACAGCTGCATTCGGTAGCTGATACGGTAGCTGTTATAATTGGCTATCCTCCAAATATCAATATGATTTTCATAAAGATTTATCTCACGTCTGGTTATTACGGCATAAATCCGCAAATAACCAACGAATTAATAAATTGGCTTTCTTTCAGTCCCGGCAATAGTGTCGAGAAGGCTGATTTTCTGGCATGTATTCAAGTTAGAATAATAATGCCTCTATGAGAATCATAATTTCGTCAAAATTAATTTATTTTGAACAAGGCGCCTTCTACCTCCTTGATTTTGAAGTATCAATATCAACAATTACCTGCATTTTGTTTTCCGGTTTTGGTATATAGCAGAGGTATTGTGGTCTAGTTGATAAGTAGTTGATAAGTCGCGGTTCGAGTCCCGCCACGACACTAATTTTCTTTGGCAAGGTGTTAATCTATACATTTGCCCCTCTCCACCCATGTGTTAAATGGGTACCGGTAGGAAGGAATTCCTTGAATGCTGTGTGCGCCGAAAGCAGAGCCGGGGTAATAGTTGGAGCGCCTTGAGCACCATTCATGGTGGATAATGTGCGCTATATAAAATAATATCCAAATATCGAATTCCGCTACTAGCTCGGACGACGAAAACCAACTCTAAAAATGAAATTTTTCTTCTTTTACAGAGATGAATTCAGTAGATTTTTATTCGCCTTCTCCATTTTTTTTTAGTCGATGCTCGCTGTCTGTAACTTAGTTAGAGCGACGTGGGGAAACGTGAACAAGGGCGGTGATGAATCTATAGGAACAGAACAGGAATCATTATTATACATTTTGAGGCTAAATGTATATTTCGACCACCTCTAAATGTAAGCGCCTTTCAAATTACAATGTAAATAAGCGTAAACAGAGATTACCTTTGATTTATTACTTATATAAAAGGATGACAATGAGGGAACTTTTTTGTAAAATTAAAAAAATTGCTAAATAAATGAAAATATACTGATTTCAGCTAATGTTCCCGGTGGTGAATCTAAGAATGGAGGCACGGGGGCAAGTGCCCGATCAACTCAAATGGAGAAAACGTTGAAGAAGGGGGAAGTGAATAGAGAAAGAGAGATATGAAGAACATATGGAAACGTTGTATCATCCGCTCACTCTGACTTGCGTGCATAGAACAAATAAGCATTTTTCCATGAAAAAGTGAAGTTTTCTAAAATGTGCGTTTCTTTCCAGCATTGGGGCGCCCGGAAGTCACTCGGGTAACATTTCATAAAGTATAATATAAAAAGACCATATGCAAATTTTCTCTACTTTCGTCGGAAAAAATACCTTTATCCAGCACAATATCGTCTCATTTTGCGTTGGAGAATAACGAATAGCGAGTTTCAATCACACTTTGGCCGCTCTCGCAAGCTCTCACTCATTATACTGTGGTCAAGCGACTTTGGGGCAAGCGGTTAATGAAAATACTAATCGTTAGCTTTCTTCTGGTATTAAACTTGTTTTGATTGATTGTATAATTATGTCGGAATAAAGGAAACAAAAAGGCTCGACCAATAACTTATCAGCGTCTGAATTGACCTTTTGACCTTGAATTCCCTGATGCAAGCGCACTAATGAGGTCATCTTCGCTAAATCGGTGTCTTTTATCGTAAAATGCGACACTTTCACAATGTTTATACATCTTTTTTAATTATTAGTAAGATATAACATATTTTTTCTGATATCACTGAAGTTTTGGGTTTTATTTAATGAGTAATTTTAAAATAAGAGCCATTTTACTGTTTTGATTTACTGGATCGTACCATTAAAGTCGCAGGGTAGAAAGATGCATTTCCAACCGCGCCAAATTTAATTTACGTTCCGACATTCTGTTAAATGGGTTCGTGATGTTAAGAATCCACTGCTTTCTGCTCCAACAAACGTTCACATGCATGCGGAGTCGTTTATCAACTAAATTATTCAAATTTATGGATGCTTCCTAGCTTCCCAGGTGTTTGTGTTGCTGTTGAAGCATTTTATTCACCTGCTATCATTCTTTGTACTCCAATTGCCAGAACGCAAATTTCATTTTGGTTTTATAGTTTCATCGGAGTCGTTTATCAACTATATGTATTCAAATTTATGAATGCTTCCTCCCCAGGTGTTTGTGATGTGTAATGCATTTCATTCACCTGTTATTATTCTTTGTACTCTAATTGTTAGAATACAAAATGCATTTTGGTTTTATAGTTTCATGCAATAAGTAAGTCAATAAAAGAGCATGTTCTGCACAATAAAAACAATGTGTGTCCCTATTGTACAATGTGATGTGTCCCCTCATTTTGTAATAGTTAATTTACCCATTCACATAATGGAACTACCTGCCCGATGAAGCCAGTGGCCTGTGACCCCTGAGCACTCAACACCGTGTGGGAGTCAGTTTGTGGTCAAATTCTTTTATGAGACAAATAGAAGCAAACGTTTCCATATGGGAAAAAAGAGGAGAAAAAACGAAAAAAAGAGAGAGAGAGAAAGAGGGAGAGAGGGAGAGAGAGAGAAAGGGAAAGAAGAAAAGAGAGAGAAAGAAAGTGAGAGAAAAGAAAGAGAGAGAGAAAGAGGGAGAGAGAGAGAGGGAAGGAGGGAAAGAGAAAGAGAGAGAAAGAGAGAGAGAGAGAGAGAGAGACAAGAGAGAAGTAGAGAGAAAGAGAGAGACAAGAGAGAGGCAGAGAGAAAGAGAGAACGAGAGAGCAA